ATTTTTGTCAATTTGAGCTAGATTTGGCTTAGTAAGGTCAATATGAATAAGTCCCTGACATTTATCAAATCAAGTAGCCTCATAACATTTCATTAACATGGCATTTTTGGATTTGTACTGGATGAATGGCCAGGCTTTGAAATCCTGACACCATGAAGCAAAATTAAAGGTCAGCCTTGTCAAATGCATTAATTCAGTAAATCAAGCAACTCTCTGTACCCTGCATTAGGGAGATCTGCATTTACTCAGGTGATCCCAACAGAAGAATATTAAAATCACTGAAACTACATGAAAAGGAAAATGTATGTTTATCATGATAGTTTTCACCTGCCACAGACAATAGATTGTTAAATAGGACAATCTGAAATAAAATTTTAACATAGAATACTATGCGTCAGCTTTTGCACTTAATCAAAAAGCTAAATGATACCTCAATGTGAACAATATTGAAGACGAAACATATTCTGCACTAAAACAAAGTAAGGATTTAAAATTAGTTTTACTTACATCAATGAAAATCGACATTCCCTTTTTTAGCTCCATTTGAGTGCTGGGCTCCTCAGACACAGACTGAACCTCCTCTGAACAATCCATCATTCAAAATGTAGCTTCACTTGTAAACTGCAGAGGAATGTGTCTGCTTGAACCTCTTATCTGATCAAAGCCACCGGTCAAAAAGATCGACTCCGTACCACTGTCAAGTCAGCCGGAATAAAACACGCCACTTCCGGATTAAAGATTCCCAATTCAACCATTCATTAGGCTTACTGCTTCGTGGAATAGGGTGCCATAATAATGAAAGCACGTAGCCTTCATATATTTTCTGTCCTCGTTTCGCTCCTCATGTGTTTCGCTCAATTGTTCTGCGGATGCATTTGGGGCATGTACGCCACGTGCTTTTATTTTGAAAGCAAATAAACCCCACTTCTTGTCGTGTCCTGGCTTCACCCTGTCAGTCTTGACACCGCAGTACTCTCCTCAGCTGTTGCTATGATGAGTCCAAACCTGCAACGCATCTCCCTTGGAGCAAGCAAAGTGTCAGCTCAGATTGTGTTTTGCACTTTAATATCGCGAGGTACAGGCATACATACATTTCCACTCACAGATACTCAGAAAAAGAAAACACCACTGTGACCAATTATAGAACATACAACCAAATCAGCAGCAGAAATATCTATGTATTGCACAAATGCTATAGCCTAACGTTTGCAGGTGCAAAGGCCAGATTAAAGATAATTTCGGTCTGAATGTCTTCTTTGTGGCCTTTTGGCATTTCCCCCATAGGTAGTGACTAAAAGTGTCAATGGCATGGCCTGGCTAGTTCATCATAGTTGTTGGATTTTAGGTGGCATGGCACTTCTATTCATCATTAAATATGTTTGCATGGATTTATTTCATCATGATGGCAGCATTGTGAATTGGATGTTGCACACCTTCATCAAAGTGGAAGAATAACATGTATGTAATATGTTACTCTAATGTTTGTAAATAAAGCAATGGAGAATGCTTTAGTGAGAAACCCTGTAGATACACATAGCTTGCCCTCAAATATGTGGCACACACACACCAAAAAAAACAAACAAAAAACCTGGATTGTTGTCAAGTATCAAGTGTGCAGAGTTAATCCAACTCATAAATTCTACATAGCAAAAACCCCTGCAATGTGCTTGGATCAGCTGTAAAACAGTGTAACAGTTCCATCTAGTGGAGTGTCACAACAACACAGCAGTAAACACCATCATACAAACAAACTAACCATGAGCCTTTAGTTTAATCTGTGTCTGTATGTATTTGTGTCTATACTATGTGTGAATTCAATTTGACCGCCTTTGAGAAAATAGAGGCGACACAAAGTTTTTGGGGACTACCACCTAAAGGCTTTTGTTGCCCACAGCTGGGAGAGCCAGGCGGTGAGCGGGGCTAGATGCATGAATGCACGTATTGTCTGCTTCACTCCCCTCATTATGAATTTATGGTAAGCATGCCAAGCAGGGACATTTCCCTCAGGCTACTATATTATACTGTATGCTCCAGAATGTAGGAGACTGTCAATACTATGATGCATGCTGCATTATGTAGGCTGCATGTTTTAATTAAAAATGTATGAATTCAAGTGATATGACCTCCATAAATGATTGATTTCCATTCAACTTTTTTCCAGTATTAGAACATAACTAACGTACTCAAGAATTGTTCTTAAGTAGCCTAAAAATTACCTACAAAACTATAATGCTGCTTATATGTTCATTTGTCAGTAATAATAATCCAATAATATTAATTGTATAATAATATAGCTCTCTGGAAGAGGCTATTCTGCATAATGTGTACTTTTAGTAGCCTACTTTAAGTACATTTCGTTGATAATACATTATCTCACGTAAGTAAACATTTTAACGAAAGACTTTTACTGGAGCATTTGGATATTATGATAATTGTTGAGAATATTTCTTATATTTCTGTCTTAATTGATGTAACAGGGAAAGGTAAGACAGGTCTAGCTTAGAGTAATGTAGCTGACCCCATAAGTGTTTGACATTATAGCTTTAGGTATTTCTCACACATACTTGTCCTCGTCAAGAAGACAACAATAGACTGATTAGCTAGAGACAGTAGCTCAGACGTCAGGCTAGCAGATATCAGTGTTCTCGGGGAATCTTACAAGGTTGAGCCATACAAGAATGTTTACAAGAACTAACTGGCTCCACAGATTAGAGTACAACTCTTGGATTGTGAGAGATTCCGATATGACGAAGCACTGGAATCTAAACATCATATAGATAGTTGTTCTAGGTGAAGGTGACCTAATAAAGAAACCTACAGGCACTAGGGGAAGAGAGAAACATAAAAGGGACCACAATATGTAATCCTTCAGATTTGGTGTTGGCATTGCTTGTGTTTACACGTTGGATGCTGACACTGTTTCTCCTTGGCCAAGTCTCATTAAACTTTGCTGTGTAAAACTTCGTCAGTCTCCGAAAACCTTCTTCTCCACACCTGACAGCTGGCTCACAATAATTCTCAACAATAATATTTACTTGTGTAAAGGATGTGAGTACCACCACTGATACTTTTCAACATAATTTTTTTTAAATCATATTTTTTTCCTAACAGAGGCGAAAAGTAGCTATGTACAGTGTCGTGGAAATTATATTCCTGGTGAGAGGATGAGCAAATAATTGAGTTACAACGAACTGTTGTCTTAGAAGAATTTATTTAACAAAAGAGAATAAACAGAGAAGTACTACAACAAAATCAGCTGAACCGGAGGTTCTGTCTCATAGGACAGTCACTAACGTCTGGGCCAGAGCAAAGGGCTGGATGATCATTTACACAGTCTGAGTATCTATGTTTTGGGGAACAAAAGACCCTTGACTGGTCCCAGTCAAGGAAGGAGAAGAACAACTAGTGAGGAAAACAATCAACAACCCCACATCCCTGACCTAAACCACACACATGTGGACAGACTGCAATAACAAAAACAATAATAAAAAGGGAACAGTTTAAAGATTTAAAACAATATATAAGACATAATAAAAGCAGAAAAATAGCACTCTTGTAAGTACTTGCATAAAGGACAATAAGTAAAGAATAAAACAATTTTCTGCCCTTACATACAGTATTTACTGAAATACTAAAGTACAATTTTGAGGTGCTTTTGTGCTACACTCAACTACTTTTCAACATGTTATACTATATGACACCTCTCACAGATAGAAATGATTTGAAATACATTCAGCTCATAATATATCATGCATATTATTGGTTAAACAGTATAAAATGCCATTAAAATGAGCTTCACCTCTACAAGCTACCCAAAGTGGGTTCAGATCAAGAGAAGCTGGACTTGAAACTTGGATAACTATGACCTGGATGAATCTCCACAGACTCTACAAGATACGTTGTGTCATAAGTGTCTGTTAATACATCAGTAGGCCTAATTATAATCCAATACAATTATACAATGCTCTGAAAAGGGCCATTCTGCATAAGGTGTACTTTTGACACAAAGTTGCGTTTAAAATACTAAAATTTGAATGCAAGATCTGTCCAGTAATGAAGTACTTGGACACTGTGGTATTACTTGAGTAAAGGATATGAGTAGTTCTTCCACCACTGCTAATTGCAGTATAGTTTTTCAAAACACATTTCCTTCCAATCAGTGAAAATAAATATATACATTTTCTCAAGTACTGTACTTAAATACAATATTGAGTTAGACTACTTGTAAACACACTTAATAGTGTAGTCGTTTTTACTACATTTATCTGCTTTGTTATAGAGTAAATGAACCAACAGAAGCTGCACTTCTGCAAGCTACATCAAGATTCATATTTATGGGTTTGTGTCAGAAATGTCGTTCTATATTGTGGTACTGATTGTTAATAGATAAGTAAAAGATCTAAGTACATTCCTCCACTGCTTCCTTTTTGAGAAAGTGCTTCTCATTCTTAAGCTCTGTAAAGTCAGATATGTGGTTAGATTTGAAAGCCCTGTTAATTTAAGTAATTCAATCTAAATAATTGAAGAAAAATACTACCACTTCTACTGCTACTACTACTACTACTATAATAATAATAATAATTTATGGTAAGCATGCTAAGCAGGGACATTCCCCTTAGGCTGCTATATTATACTGTATGTTCTGATAAATACCTAATCCAGAATAGGAGACTATCAATACAAACCACTGGATGTGGCATACTGCATTATGTAAACTGTATGTTTTAATTAAAAATGGTGATTAGATTTGAAAGCCCTGTTAATTTAAGTAATATAATGTACAAAATTTTATTATAATAATAATAAACAGGAAGTTAATTCATTTGCACATCATGTCAGTAGTAGTTTATTCAGCATATGTGGCAGCACAGTGGCTGACAGCAATAACCACAGATGATCGATCGAACATAATTTGTCTCCAAAGCAGAGTAAATCTCGCGATGACAATCGGAGCGCTCTGGTTGGATGAGTACGTCAAACGGTCGCTCACGTGGGCCGAGGTTACTTGGCATTCTGGGACACAAACAGTGGTTGGTATGAACGGTATGAATATCTCTCACGGCGACAACAGCAGCAGCGTCCACTGTGGAAAGAAGGCGACGAGAGAAACAACACCCAGCTAGCAGAGAAAGGGCAGACAGGTTTTTCATATCAGACTTCTGCATCTTGTTTGTTGCTCTGTTGTCCGGGAGAAGCGGACGTGGAGGCCAGTTAGTCTCTGAAATGCAACGGTGGACTTTATCCACGCAGAGAGTTATTTAGCTAACGACAGGAGTAAGTTGGCCTCACTGTGTTCTATACTAGTGGGTTAACGTTAGCTAGATGGCAATGCTGGTCGAGTCATAAAAGTTGATGTCTTTGCACCACTTCGCTTCTAGTCATCTCACTCCGAAGAAGAAGGATTGTTTTGTCGCTGTCCTCACAGCTCGTCTCTTTCCTGCCCTGACAGCTGCCTCCATCCATTGACTCTAAATTGTCCTGAGCTAAGAGGGGACAACTCTGAATATGGCGAGTGTTTCTGACAGAGACTACAAAACTGGCATTTTAAAGTCATTGGCCTGGCACGTTGACCAGCTTGTGTACCCAAGATAAACATTGTTTAACTGGACAATTCGTGTAATGGCCAAGGAGAGTGGTGGAAAAAATCTTTTTATCTCACTACACAGTTGTTCTCAGAGTTGCATAACAATGTGTTACCACTGCTGAAACCGTTTTCTTAACAGTTTATAAGTACTTCTCTGTTGAAGCTCAACAAATTGATATTGCTAGACATGGATTTGCGCTGAATGTGAAGATTGTCTGGAAATCTCAAACATCACAGCTGTCTCCAGGTCGGACGGTTCATCTGAGCCCTGCTGCTGGTCCCTAAAGCTTATATGAGGGCCAACATGTCAGTGTCGGGGTCCACGACTGTACATCTTTTCACCAAGCTTGTCAAGCACGCTGTGGGCAAGGCACAGATCCAGCTGAACCGCTGGCTGCAGAGGACTGCCACAGATGATTGTGACAAAGTTGACATCCTGATATGCAGCGCCTTTGACGAGACTGGGGTTGGCATAGCGAGGTCAGACGGAGACCCTGAGGTTATCGGTGCCACAGGGGGAATGACCTTCAGCACCAGTGGAGAGTTCAGACATCCGTGCTGTATTACCACCTTTTGCTTCAAGAGCGCCCTGCTGGCGTGCATCCTGACTGCTGTGTGCTTCTCCTCGGTTGCCCTCGTGCGCCAATACCTCAAGGACCTTCTGCTCTGGGTGGAGAGCCTGGACAGCCTCGTTGGAGCCTTGCTGTTTATAGTTGGTTTGATTATCGTGTCGTTCCCGTGCGGATGGGGATATATTGTTCTTAATGTGGCAGCTGGCTACCTCTATGGCTTTGTGCTGGGCATGGGACTAGTTATGGTGGGAGTTTTAATAGGGACCTTTGTGGCACACCTGGTGTGCAAACGACTATTGACTGACTGGGTGCTGAACAAGATAGGGAACAGTGAACAGCTCAGTGCTGTCATACGAGTTGTGGAAGGAGGAAGTGGACTCAAAGTTGTGGCCTTAGCGAGACTCACCCCCATACCTTTTGGGCTCCAAAATGCAGTTTTCTCGGTGAGTATGAAAACACTATTACCAGCTTTTCCTTTTCACCTCAGAAGGACAGCCATGTAATGTCCTTTGTAAGCTCAGATGGGTTTAAGCAGAAAGGTCAAACAGCAATAGACCAGACAGGAGAGGGGCTCATTAACCTACTGGGGAACGGTTCAACAAATCACAAGCAGTCATGTGAATCAAACCTGTGACCTTTTTGATTTTAGAAGGATTTCCTTATTGCTAGGCAAACCTACCACACAGGGGAAATCATAACTAGCCGGAAACCACTCTCGAGGAACAGACAGGGAGTATTGCAGGTAGATGTTCATCATTTTAGTTGTGATGAATTTTAGATGTTGAACATTGTAGTTGACCTGTTACTTCACTGTTCAAGACAGACCACAGTCAGAGCAGACATGGAAAGTCCAGTCCCCACAGAATGGAAACTCGTTCCTCTCATGGAAAGAGGGCGTGCTCCTATGAAATGGATTCTACTGTCGCCTAAGGACATCAATTATTTTATCAATTTGAACTATTGGTATCACATTTGATATCACTAGTTTGGGTTTTCATATTTGGAGCCATGTTTGTTGGGAACTCAAAAATCATCTGGTTATGTTGGTCATGTAGATTACATGATGTACATTGTTGTTGTTTTTCTGTAAAAAAAAATCTGAAGTCATCGGTGAAGGTAACAAACACCATGTAATCTACATTTTAAAGCTAAGCAGTATCAGGATATTGCTTTAAGCTGCATTTCTACGCTTAACCCGATGCCCTTGACCTTCATACATGCTGTAAATAATTTAGACTTGCTGATTACCCTTCTCAGTCAACTCATTGATACCTCCCAAATAGTAAACGCCTTGAGCGTTACTGTATTGTAGAAAATCAGCTGGGAGGTCACGCATCATGTACAATGTCATGCCAGTTGAATGAAAAATGAAGAATATGAACCTGAAGGTGAACTTGATGTTACTTGGCCATTCAGGCTTACATCTCCAGAGTAGTACAAGCCAGACTGCTGCAGACTGTCTCCAATTGCGCCAGATTATACAGTTTCTCTCACACAGAGCTGGAATTACCTCACCAGTACCACATTTTCAAACCAATTACCTTCCAAAAATATTCATACGGTTGTTTACACTAAATGTTGAAATAATAAGGCTTTAAAGGTGGAGACAAGTTAGATTAAATAGCTGTAACTTCAGTGTGCTGGAATAGCACTAACTGTAAAGTAGGGCTGCAACTATTGATTGTTTTTATTATCGATTAATCTGTCGATCATTTTCTCAATTAATGGATTAGTTGTCTGATCCACAAAATGGTGAAAAATGTTGATCTGTTTACCAAAGCCAAAGATGACGTCCTAAAAAAATCTCATTTTGTCCAAAACCCAAAGATTTTCAGGTTAGTGTCACAGAAGAGTAAATAAACTAGAATATATTCACATTTAAGAAGCTGGAATCAGCGAATTTTGACTTTTTTTTTTCTTAAAAAATTACTCAAAACGATTATCGAAATATTTGCAAATTAATTTAATAGTTGTCAGTCAATCGACTAATCGTTGCAGCTCCACTGCAAAGCAATAACAAGTATTTGCACAATAGAAAACTGTGTCTCAAGTTTTTTCCTTTGTGTATTCTGTGTAAATAAGCAAGTGATTATAGTTTGTTAATGTGCCTATATACATCTATACACAGACATTTTGACCTGACGCTGATCTGACTGGCAAAGCCATGAACTGCGTTTATGGGAAAATATCTCTCCAGAAGAGAATCAAAATAGTGTTGAAGGCAGAAACCAACAGTCATTCAGAAGTGAATGCAGTGAGGGGAGCTTGAAAGGCATTAATAGCTTAAAGCTTGAAGGAGTTGATGCACAGGCCTGAGGCAGGAAAAGGAAAAAGGAGATGATGTAAGTGAGTTTCACAAGCACAGTAATTGCATGCTGCAAAACTAGTAACTTTTCCGGGGTGACTGATTTACTTAGACGTTTCTCGGCTGTATGGAGATTGGGTATTTGTCTTTGGCTTTTGACAGTTCTGTATACACACATTCATAACCAACCTACAATAAACACTCACTATGTGAAACTCATTTACATCTTTTTGATTGTGTCCGAGCTGTATTGACCCAACTCTACATTTACAGGCCATAGTTGATAGACGTTTTCCATTTTAATTTCATTATATTAAAAGCTGTTTCTAATACTTTGTCAAACCCCCATTAACACGCATAGGGGGTATTACATTATTAAAAACCTTCCCCTACAGCCTCCAAAATCACATTAGAGTTGAGTCAACACCTCTCATTTGACAGAGTCTAAATAAATTATAAATAAAGTGTTTCTGGTTTCAGTTAATTACAGGGAAACTGGATTGGATTACATTGCAGGGGTGTAGATCAGAGTGTTGATGCCTTACTCTCTTTGTAGTAAGTTAGCATGTTGGGCTGCCTTTTGCAAAATAGTTTGTCGTGCTATTGTAAAGAGAGCAATGTGCTAAACCTAATTTATAATTAACTTGTTATAATATACATGTATTTTATGTGGTTCAGCTTAATTCTATTTTAATTCAGCATCAACTATAATTATTGTCAGTGTAGTAAATTTTTGTATTAAGTGACAGAAAGGCCTTGCAAGTAAATTTCACATTGGATTTGGATTATAATATTTGCATATATAGATCAGATAATGTTCAAAATTATGATTAAATAGTAAAGTAAAACTAACAGCATAAAGTCCCTGCTACATGTTAGAAATGGCATTATTTTCATTATATAGTAATCTGTCGATTGTTTTCTCGATTAATCTGTTAATGAGTTTGTCTTTAAAATGGCCCTTTATAATTTCCAACAGCGTACTGAGATGTATTCTGATTGCTTGTTTTATTTTATTTGACCAACAGTCCAAAATCCAAAGATACTCAGTTTACTATCACTGTGACAAACAAAAGCATCAAATCACCACATTTCAGAAGATGGAATCAACAGATGTTGAGCTTTCAAACAATTACTTGCTCATTATTGATGACTAAGACACTTTCAGATAACTCAAAATAGTTATTTGGCAAGTGTGAGGTGAGATCATCCCAGGAATCAGCTTACGTACAAGAAGTTCTGCTGGCAGTAAACATTTTTGCTGCATGTGTTGATTGACTGATGGGTTGGTTATTTGAGAAGCATCTCAAATTCAAATGCTTTGGCGGTGACATTAGAGTTGAACAGTGAGGCAGCCACTTTAGCATGAACAAACAAAAATGCATGTTTAGAGTCGGGCGCTAACCTGTTGAGGTGCTCTTGAAAATCTGAGATAATTATGTGTAAGTTCACGTGAATGAAGGTTGAAGGCGAGTGTCTTCCTCCACTGTTAAGAAATTGGCGTCATAACTCAATGTATGTGTTTTAAATTGAGCGTGTAAGAAACTTGTATTGTTTTTTTTGTGACGGGCACTCTGGAAATACTTCAGTGAACAGTGAAAGCTCCAAGCGAAGAGTAAGACAGTTTAAGATGGTACAAATTAATAATTCCTTTGTATTAGTCCCACACTATGGTCAGCTGTTCACCTGTAAAAAGGCTTCCTTTACCCAACAGGACTTACAAACCTAGCAGATGGTCTTTTTTGCCTGACTGACTTAAATGGCTTCTGTTTGTTCATGTATGTTGATTCACCCTTTCGGGTCCATGGTTGGGAAACAGTCCAAAGGCTGCTGTGCCTCTCATGTCAGGACCGTGGCTTAAACTTTGACAGTAGTTTCTACATGAACTTAATGTTCAGGTCTGCAGATGTGAAAATGAGGTGTCAAAGTCAAAGGGACGGCCTTTTTTACACCCACTGTGTTTCCCAGTTTCTGCCACTGCCACTTTTTATGCTTGCTCGGGGGCATTATCTATGAGCAAACAAACACAAAGGATGTCAGCTTTCAAGCAGCTCACTCACAACTGCTACAAAAGTGGGTCAGATTTGGTTGAATGATAGTTTGCATGTGTCATATTTCCGTTGCTTAATTTCAGCTTATGACAGCTGTTTGTCTTTGAAAATGCAGCTTTTCTGTGTTTGTCATGACTTTTGAGATTGTTCCCTTTTGATGCATTTTGGGTTTGCATATTTAAAGATATCATCCAGTTTCTTTTTAACTAATGCAACTGCATTTTGGACAAAGGTTTCGCCTCTTTTCAGCTAATTTGTGTGGCTTATGTTGCTTTGAAATCTCACTTATCAAAGGCCTGATTTCCACAACAGTTTAATTGAGAAATCATTTTGTCTAATGCCTGTATCTCAATTGAGCATTCATACCCAATGACAGTGTGAATAGGGTCGTTCATAGTGCTGAACCTACAGAGAATTATCACCTGAATCTGCAGCGCCCCTTGGCTTTACAGAGCTTTTATAGCCCGTTTCAGCTCATTGTGTGGCTGTCTGGTTCCACAACTTGTGGTTCACTCTCACTACTCTTACAGTGTCATTTTTGGCTGCAGAAAGAATCTCTTTATAGTAATAAAGCTCGTACAACCCAGTGTTCACTACCTGCTCTGCACAAACAGCAGACAGTAGCTGGTGATGAAGCTATTAGCAGCTAAAGAGCCAGATATTTCCCTCAGAAGTTGGTAGAGACCAAAAACAGAGCCTTTGTAAAAGAAGAGTGAATATTGGACATTTGCCAGGTGAACATGACTCCAAATTATATTGTAGCTCCTTAACTGCTGGATCTGTAAATAAGCAATGGTTTGTTGACAACCTTAAGGTTCAGTGTGTTAGTTTTAGTAGCATCCAGTGGTGAGGGTTGCGAATTGCAAACAGCAGCTCACGGTGCATTCACATGCTCCTCAGATGGTCCCACTACAAATATGTGTTGGATTAGCATTATCAGACCATATAAACAACACACAGACATCTAGTTCACTCTACATGTACAGCAAACAGGCTAATCGTTATAACCATGTGACGTTTGCAAAATGTGTATATGCACGAATCAAAGTTCTGCATTCTTCTTTATGTCTCATGTACACTTTTATATTCTCTTTTTGGAATAAATATTTAAAGAGGTAAAAAAGATTCTGAATGAATACACAATCACTCACCACCCAGCCCTCCCTGTCCAAGCGAGCAAGAGAAGCTACGGTGACTTCTAATAAACTAGATGACTACTACTACTGACATTTTGTTGCTGTTGTTCTTCGTACGTATTCAACGTAGTGACGAAACACGCTCTGGAGAGCAGTTTGTCCATTTGGGCTACTGTAGAAGAGGACCGGCGATGTGTGTATATATATATATATATATATATATATATATATATATATATATATATAGAAAAGGCTCATTCTAAGGTATTAAAAACATAATGGCTCATTATGTAAAGTCTTTATACACCACGGAAAACATAGTTATGTGTATTATATTGCAATTCTGTCAAACGATTCTCCTAAATATTACAAACTGAACCTTTTAAAAGGTGATTTGTCAATGTTGTTAACAACTTGTTTCTGCTGCCCCCAAGTGGCCAAATAAACGGTTTAAACAAATTTATTGACTAAACCATCATTCAGGGTCGGTAGAACTGGAGAAAATCAGGCTGCTGACTCCTCGCACACAAACCTTAGTGTGAAACCTTTTCTTCCAGCTGGTGAAGTGAGTGCCATTGTGCAGCCTTCACTGGGGAGTTTAGCCAGCCCTGCAAGCAGGAAGCAGGCTAATAAGCTGAATCCCCAGGTTCACTTGCCTCCACTGCTACAATCCTACTTCCCCTCCCGGAGGGGTTTCGAACCCAGCTGAGCCTCTCACTGTACACCTTGTAATTCTTCTTATCTGGTGGCTCATTATTAAGCAGCCTAGTTGATCGTGTACCTTTTTTATGATCTTATTCTTAACAATAAAATGTGAAACTAAGCGCCGTGGGTGACTTCCAGGCCCATACTGGTGGAACACGTACACGGTTGAAATAAGTACTGTTTGCTCTGGCCTTGGTAAGCACTTTCTGTGGATGAGGCTACATTTCACCATGCCCCCCATTTCTTTCTGCTGAAGTGGATGGTGCTACATTATAGCGGGTAACCTAAAACGACACAAAGACTGCAGCAGTTAGCAAAACAAGGGGACAGCTCAGGAAGAGTGTTTGTGAATCCTTTGCGGATGAAGTGGACATATTCAGGTCTCCACGTGTATTTTATTACAGCTTTTAACGCTGCTCACTGGCCTTGCTCCATCCCTCTGCTGTCATAATGAGCTGATGAAGCAATTGGGGAATTCAGTGATTTATAGGGCACTAACTACAGGCAGACATGTTTGCGCAGCCTTTAATTACGCTCTGTGCTTCACCCTTCGTTACAAAAGGAAAACCCTGCATGTGTCCAGATAAAAAGGGCACTCTGCATCACAGAACCAATCCTGAAATTTACTATGCAGTCAAGATACCCTACTTCCTGTTTTGTTTACAAGTACAGACTCAGACCTGCATTGCTGCTGCTCTGAATAAATCAGGTCAAGTGTGTTTTTTCACTTGAATTTGCAGATTATTTTGATACACAGGCTTGCTGAGGCGAGTAGGAGGTTCAGTGGGTATTCTCTGCGTGGTTATAAAAATACCAACGACTAGCCCTTCCCTGGTCGTATATAAGACAACTGCTAGATGCCTGGGTGGAAAGACTTCAGAAGACATGTGCTTCACAACTCAGGGAGGATGGCTGCGAGAAAGAGAGTGGATTCGTTTTTATTCTTCTGCAGCTCTCACAGGCTTACATGTCACGTCTCAGATCAGCCGAAGGCATTTTGACTGTGTTGACACATTGTGTGGACATATCAGCGCTGATCTCTGAAGGAGAAAAACCTGTTATATGATTGTACTGCTCAACTAAACATAATGAGGAAAAATGGCTTGGTAACAACATTAGCTTGATTAACCAGGTTCTGTTAACGTCCTGTGAGGTGTAACCCAGGCTGCTATCAGTGTGTAGCGTGATAACAGGAGAGGATTTAGTGTCTATCAATGCGAGGAGACATTTGGGCTGGATCTAGCATAAATGTTTTCCAGCCCTGATAACTGATCATTTTGGCACAGGCAGCGTCTTGCAGCAACACTCCATGGGCCCCGACACACCACTATCAGTCTTAACGGGTAGAGAGTGCCAAGGTCACATCCTCACACACCCAGCATAGATACACATCAGCTTATGTCATCACTTGATCAAGGGTGACAGTGACGTAGCCACTTTAGTTTAAATTCAGGTGGATGAGATGAAATGGATAGTATTAGTATTCAGATCCTTTACCTAAGTAAAAGTACCAGTACAACAACTCAAAATACTCTTTTACTATGTAAAAGTAAAAGTTCTGCATTTAAAGTCCTACTTAAGTAAAAATACAAAAGTATCATCAGCAAAATGTACAAAAGTAAAAGTGCCCTTGACTGGAAAATTGTTATATATTAAATAATATATTGTTAATACTCATGCATTAATGTATAAGCAGCATTGTACTGTAACTGCTCAAGGTGGAGCTAGTCTGAACTACTTTATATATAGTTAGCTAGTTTAGTCAACCTGTTATTGAACTTCCACCATAATCTTTAATATGAATGCATAATAGAGGGTTGATGTTGACTGCTTGACTATAATATATTTATCTTATTTCAGTAAATATCTATAGTATAGGTTTTCCAGTGCGCTTAAATCTTTAAAATTTCTTTTTAATTTTACAAGACGTTTCTCTTTTTTTAAGATCACAGACGTGTCCTTGCCAAACTACCTGGTGGCCTCCTCTGTGGGCCTGCTGCCCACTCAGCTCCTCAACTCCTACCTGGGCACCACGCTTCGCACCATGGAGGACGTCATCGCCGAGCAGAGCGTCAGCGGCTACTTTGTGTTCAGCCTGCAGGTGAGCTGATGGTGATTAATCGTGTTATACAACCATGTGTTGTAAAATGATAAATCTACCTGGGCACTACGTGTGAAGGTGCTTATTGCTAAATGTGCTGAAATGATGGATTTCACATTTTTCTTTGCAGTCTTAAAATGTCCAAGTCAGTGTTAATTAAGGTGTCTTGTTTTGAATATTTTTGTGATTCCTTTAAAAATGCTTTTTGCACTATATTATGTAGCAAATCTTTGGCACGTTGGTCGACCAGGTACATTATTTAGTTCACCAGGATATTGAAATGACAACAGGAGGTCCTCTAGCACCCAGACACAAGAGACTGTCTGGTTCAGAGAAATGCAGCTTGGACATTTCACAGTGGCAGTGATGATGATGATAATGCATCAAGCACACGCAGACAGCTGGTGACACACCTGTTCCCCTTTCCTGTGAACAGCTTGTTGATAATAATAACGTGACATACAGCTCTGGACTACTCAAACTCATGTGACATGTTTTGTCGGTGGATGAGTGCTTTTTTACCCTCCCTTATATTCAGAATATATTTTGTCTGCCAAGCCAGTCAAACCTTATACTAGTGCAAAAGCATTGACATCTATGCAAAAGCTTTGACATCTACCTCTCTCGCTGTGTTTAGTTACATAAACATCTACAGCATGAATGCTGAGCCTCGTGTAGATATGTAGAATATGCCCAGAGTTCGATTCAGCTCACTCAACTAGCATTTGAAGCTGTCACCACATCTCAAACACCTGTTCAGCTTCATTAAGCCCTCACAGGTGCTCAGGGATCCGGGGTTGTTTCTGAGGGCAGCATCAGACAGGGTCACGGGGGTCAGAGGTCAAGGGTCAGTTTAAAATTAAGTATGTATCAGTGTTTCATGCAGAACTCAAAGCTGTTGCTCCAAATTGACAACAACTGGCCTTAATCACACAGAAGCCTTTTTTTGGTGGGAAATAATACATTTGTGGTGACCTTTAACTGCAGGTAAGGATGGACCAATCCAATTTGCCGGATGGGAATCAGGGGCCAGTGCTGACCAGACACCACACCTACGTTAAATAAATTTCTTTGTCAGTGTCATTATAAAATGTAGTCTTTCCAGTTTTTAATACCGTAGCAATCCTGACCTTGCCTCTGAGGAATAGTTTATAGACATTTTGCAAAATCTGCTTTCGGGAACAGTAAGTTCCAGGAGTCTTGGTTGTCTGCTTTTTGAACAGATTAAATAAACAAGATATAATGTTTTAATTATGAAGCTTTAGAGGTGCTGAGAGATTTTGTTACCTTTGAGCAAAGCCAGGCTGGTGATTTTCCCGTTTCCAGTGTTTGTGCTAAGCTAAGCTAACCATCTGCTAGATGTAGCTTCATGCATATCATACAGATTTTATATTTGGTAATAAGAGACCATTTGTATCAGATTGGGTGTCATATTGGTATACTGATTTGAAGTATCTGAAGTGGTATCAGGATTGAAGAAAAATCTGACAGCTAGTAGCAAACTAGCTTCTAAGATTTTAGATTAATTTTAAAGCTTTGTCTATCTGAAGGTCTCACAATAGACTTAAGTGTTGACTGTGCAGAACACTATAGTAATCTTTCAAACAAGAGTTTGTAGTTGTTGTAGTACACCGACACACTTCCGAATATAGTGGAGTTCAGTTCACCACAACCACAACTAAACGTAAAGCCTCAAAAATGACCACAAAAGTGAATAAACAAGAAAAGACCGCTATGCGCAGCTGTGTTTAAGGCCACACGATAACTTCCTCCTCCTGTCCTCTGCAGATTGTCATCAGCATCGGCCTGATGTTCTACGTTGTGCACCGCGCTCAGGTAGAGCTCAACGCAGCCATCGCAGCCTGCCAGATGGAGCTCAAGTCCTCACACATGAACGGCTCCTCCACCAATCACAGCGGCTTCACCTACTGCAGCAAGAGGGCGACGGCTGGCGGTGGAAACTGCGTTAATGTGGTGTGAACCGCAAATCATCACTCGAGGCAGAAGCTCTCATGACTTGGTCACCGTATTATAAGACTGCAGAGCTTTGGGGGAACCCGGCCGATTTTAGACGGTGTCTGAAACATGTTGGTGGCGTGATATTTAATTTTCAACATTATATTCTGACCCACCTGTGCAAGGAAACCCTGAAAGCGTGTCTTTAATCTGTACGGTGTTTTAAAAGGTGCTGATGGAAATGGTTTTACGGTACATTATCTTGGGAGATTTTTTAAATTCTTTTCATTACGGTACTTCTTAACATTTACTCTGTTGCAGGAGATGTTAATGACATGATGTTTTGAAATTTCAGAGTTGGCTGAGTAAGATTAATATTAAAAAATAAGCTAGGCATTAATGGCCTGCTAACACTATGAATGTGCAATCTGGAGCTTTCTAGAAAACCAAGGAACTGTTTTTCCATTTCAATGTCTAAAGAATGCCAACCTATGCACCTTTGTTTCATACAATGTCTGTTTTTATTTTAAAAGATTTCATGATTTGTCTACATCCAGTGCAAATAATAAGGGCATTATTCATATTTTTGAAACATTTGGCTGTTTAGTCCAGTGCATTTAATTTTTTTTTTCAAGTGTCTTATTTTTGGACTTTTGAGAGAGGGGGAAAGCTCTTGCTCAGCATTACTGGCCTCTCCCGACTGTGTGATTTCTGCTGGCTTACGGCCACATTATCTGGATTGGCCTTGTCTGCCTGGAGATCATTTATTGCGCTTCTGCGGTTTTGATAAGAGCAGCTGGAGAGGAGAGCAGATTTCACAGCAGGAAACTCAGGAATGTTTCTGCCAGGAAAGTTGAAGTGCGGCGTGATCTCGGTAGCACAGGCACATGTTCTGCTACAGAAAGATTCCCACACGGAACTGAAACTGAGATGCTTTGTTTTACTTTTTTGTTTGGCTGTGAGATTATCCATTCAGATTATTATAGTTTTTGCTTAAGATCATAATTTTGACAATTCTGTGCAATATGAAGAACGGTGACAAAATGGCATGAATGTCATATTTCAGTGCTGAAACCAAACTAATCAGAAATGCTCTCACGTGTACAAAATAACAGCTACGTCTGTTTTTATTTAAGGTTTTACGTACATTATAGACAAGTAAGTTAGATGAGCTAAAGAGGCTGATATTTTTTTATATCATAATTTGGTAAAGCTTATCAGACGCCTAACACTGACCCCACCTGTTCTGAGGATACATGTGACTTATGACTTACTTCATTTTATTACTTAAAGCTGGGGTAGGCAACGTTGCACAAACCAGCAAGAGACAGCTAGACTGTGAAAGTATCCAACCTCCCTCCAAAGCCATTACACCCCAATGGGTGCACAGGCAGAGTGTGTGCAGGTTGGTATGTAGACATTTTATTTGGACTGAATGAAAATTAAATAATTGGCCATGCTTGTTATAGTCCTGCGACAGCCACAGATACTGGATTTATTTTACATTTTTGTGTCAGCACATTATTGATTGCTGTCGCGATGTAAAGAGAATTTCAATGAATATAACAAAAAATGCTTCTGAAATAAATTGCCTACCTCTGCTTTAATGTTGCTGTCAGTTCTAGACATAATCTATCTAATAATACAACAACAATGTTCTCATGCTGTTTGTTCCTTTGCACTGTCCACTACAACAGACAAAACATTATTTTCATACAGATAAGTTTGGGGTTTGGTTGGTCAGAAGTTGAAACTGATGTGTCTCAGAAGCCGACAATCAAACACAAAATGGACACTAATTCATGAATGTGACGATACTTTATTATTTTTACATGAATTATTGTGATGCTGCTCCTCAGACAAAGTCTGATTGAGGAATAATAAGGGCTCTTATATGAAAAAATCCATCTTTATGTCCCTCTATTTGTTCACAAAAGCCTGATTTGTAATGTTGGCACACATTTTTATTTTTCATTTTAATTTTTCTACTATTTTTTTCTCGTCGAAGTCAGAATAAATGTTCGCACAAACACATTCCATGCTGTCAGACCTCTGAGAAGCTGTAGAGTTATTTTCATGCTAAATGTTGGTTGAAAGGGCCCCTTCCTGTCTGAATTTAGCAATAAAGTCCTACCAATAAGATCTTTAGCCAAGTGTTGGGAATAGCTGTTTACTTCCACTGTTAAAGATCTGATGGGAAACATTAATTTTCCATTGACAAGTGAACACAAACTGCATTCGCGTTGTTAGTTGATCCATGTTCCACTGTAAGGATGAGTATCAGTGTTTCCAGGTTTGTGTTACAGTGTTAAACCTGTGTGTTCTCCCTCTGCCTGTTGATGGACATTTTTCTGCGCTGCCTGTAGTGGAGAAGAGATACACAAACATCTGCAATCAGAACAGCTTGTTCGGCACCTTCTTTGGAGAGTCCTTAAATCCTACTGATCAGTTATTGGCGTTTAGCGATCAGTCTCTCGCTCCTGTCACATAAAAAAATGCTGGATCCAACCCAGACAGTGTTCCAGTTCCTTACTTGAATTGGAAGTTTACACAGAGAGAGAGAGAGAGAGAGGGGATCACATTTTTATGGCTGCGGGATTTAAAAAATCTGCTCACTGCTCTTCACTTTCTCACTTCTTAAAAGTGGGGAGATGAGTTTTTCTCACATCCTGATGAGAAAATGTTGTAAATAGACAAGTGTTTTCACCTGACAGCAAGTGTCCCTACCCTCCAAACAAAGTGTGATTCGATGAAGCTGTTCTGCTTAAATGTGGAAGAGATGTGGAACGTCATACCATGTTTAACGCAAAAATCAAACAAATGAAACTTGATCGGCCTTCGTGGACACTTAATAATATTTTAGTCTCTCAACTGGGATTTTGTAAACTTGAGATTGTGGAAAAATGAGCAGTTTTACAGTAAAGGCTTTGGTTCGTCCTTGGTGGGCTCTACTTTACTTAGATATAGTTATGCAACAACTGATTCCTAAGGGAAGTATATTTCATAGACACCCACACAAGACCTGAATCTGAGACGTAATTGCACACGTGAACTGTTCTATTGTACAGTGTGATACCATTAACTTAAAGGGTCAAGTTGAGGGTCTCGTTTGGTGCTATGAAATGCAATACTTCCCATCTGTATCAAGTGCATTACACATATGCTGTATTTTGTAATACAGAATTTTACAGTGTATAAATAATGTATTTATCACTGTATGATGCTTGTCCAATTTTATTTATGAGAGAGAATAAAACCTGTCTGAATTTGTTACAAAATTTTTGTTCAGTTTTTTTAAAAACTTATACTAATATATAATATATATAAAAAAATCCTTGTAAGGATTAATAATTACTCTATATTTAAAACAGTTTTTCAAGGGATTTCCCCCTTTCTGGTCTATATTTCCGGCCTCTGCTGAATTATTTTTATCCCAGGTGAAGAGAAAATTTATCCCCACTTAAAAGTGATCAATGCTGCTTCACTAGTGGTGCAACAGATCACAATAAAACAATTATTTTTATGAATAAAAACTTTTAAAAACATCCCACCCTCTGTATTTTTCACAAATTGCACCCTGGATAGAATAGACATTTTTGCAAGTATCGCCCCCATATCTGCGCTTTAATATAAGGCTACATCTAGCAGTCTGTTAGCTTATTAACTTAGCATGAAGAGTAGTAATGGGGCAACAGCTAGCATGGCTCAATCAAATGGTTACAACAAAAGTCAAACTCTCAAGCTTACTGATAAGCACTTTTTATGGTGTTTCTTTAAAGGAGACATATTATACTTTTCCATATTTTATGACTTATCTACAATGTTACAATGTAGGATGTTCATGTTAAACATGGCCAAAGCTTCAAATAATGACGTTAAAGTATGTAAAAGAAATCCCTGAGCTCTGTTTGGTTCAGTGGTTCCCTGAACACCCTGTTGTGTACGCAAGTGCTCTGCATTTTACTGCCTTTTTAACATGTTAAAACGGCTTGGGTTGATTGGGTAACACCTGTGACACGCCCACAAAACGGGACAAAACATACCTCTAAGATCATTGCAGAACATTGCACAACCTTGCAAGGAAACATGTCGTTCAATCCCAAAACGTTTCAAACCGGTGCAAAACGTTTTGAGATTGAACTCACCCCTGGTAACATGCTTCAGGTCTTGGCCAATCAGAAGACAGTGGGCTTTGAGAGGGTGGGCCTTAAAGAGACAGAAGCATCCACAGCTTGTTTCACACAGAGACTGAAATGAAGCCCTACATGTAGTGCCAGTATAAGATAGAACATAATTTTTTTTCAAACTTTGAATCATGCAAAGCTGCCATACAGGGGTCACAGAACTACAATATACGACTGGAAATGCAGTATAATAGGTCTCCTTTAATCTGTACAAAAAACTGTGTAAAAAAAAGAATTTGCTGTTTTATGGACAATTTCTTGGCAACCGACCTGTAAAGAGTTGCCCGTCAACTGTTTAGAGCCATGAAATTGTCCGGCACATAACCCCTGTAAAACGGTAAACTATTATTTTTTTCACATCAGTTTCTGTACTGATTAAACAAAGGAGATACAACATGTTCATTTGTGAGCTTTAGAGGTGTTGGAAGACAGATGCTGTTACCATTTGACAGAGCCAGGTTAGCTGTTCCCCTGTTTCTAATCGTTGTCCTGAGCTAAAGCTAAGCTAGCTGGCTGCTGGCGGTAGTGTTGTAGTACTCGAAACCGGTCTTGGTCTCGAGACCAGTAAGACCACTTTTTGATTGTCTTGGTCTCGTGTCGGCTTCGACCACATTTGTACTTGGTCTTGTCTCTGTCTCGGACATTGAGGATTTGGGATTTTATTTCAAGACCATAACTTTGGGAATATCAATAAATTGCTTTTGCATTGTCTGATTTATTTGTTAATATTCTAACTTTGACTGGATGTAAGGCAAGGCAAGGCAAGTTTATGGTAATTCAAAGGGCTTTACATAAAACATAAAAGCAACAGGGAAATATAAAAAAGTTTAAAAGCAACATAGGGAAATTGAAAGAATACACATTAAAATATAATAAAAGTTACAGTGCAGTGTGCAATCAGGGTTAAAAGAGTTAAAATGTTGTATGATGTATAACTTATTGCTTCAAATGCAACCAATAACCCTGATTAAAAATGTGGGTGTTTTAATGGGAATGTGGATCTTTCAGATCAATTAGAGAAGTACCTATGATCTCTATAGATTTTATTGAGTGTCATGTAATATGGGGAACTGGTCTTGGTCTTGACTCAGTCTCGTCCTCCCTTGGTCTTGGTCTCGACTTGGTCCCAGCCCCTAAAAGTCTTGGTCTTGTCTTGATTTTGATAAACCCTGTTTTTGGTCTCGGTTTTGGGCAGACTATAACACTAGCTGGCAGATAACAGCGGTAGCAATATTTATATGAGAGTGGTATCAATCTTCTCATGTAACTCTGTGCCTTACAGCGTAAAATAGTAAAAGTCGTAAAATGTCAAAGTTTTGTTTTAATGTAGAAACTTGTATCTAGTCGACTTTTCTTTTTATTTAATAATTTACAGCACATTGTACCTTATGTAATACTGAGTGAACCCTTGTCTTTGTTTGTTTGCTTTTACTGAACTTTCCGTTCACCTGGTTATTTAAGATGGAAAAAGCAGCCTAAAGTAAATGGGTCCAGTGGTGGAAATTCACACAGATGTGTTTAAAAGCTTCCACTGCTGATTCAATTTCTTGAAAATCTTTGTTGAGCTGCCACACATTTCATAAAATCCTTTCACCCACTTCATAATCTCACCCCAAATGCTAGCATGAGTCCCTAAATATTACCTGGCATCATCCCCGACCTTTGAGAGTGATGGAAGACAAAATGTTCTTGCTCAGAAGGTTTTCCCTTATCTTGCAAACCTCTAAAGAACTGTCAGTCCTCAAATATGCAGCAGAGGCAGCGACAGCACTGTACGGTCAGAAATAATGCGGGCTTCTGGGGCAGTTTGTCACAGCGATTTTGAAGTGAAGTAGTGATGGATGTGGCGGTGGTGATGTAGAGTGGAGCAGCATTAACGCTTGCCCTTGCCTTGTATGTGACAAGCTATCTGCACAGGGGGAGGTGGGTGTTTGTGTGGATGGAGTCTGACAGACATGGTCCAGATAGATTCTGCTTGTGAACCACACTCAAACACGTACAGTGGAAACGTTGCCCACAGTCATCTGCTCACACACCAAATACAACACAAATACAAAAACCAAGTCCCAGTCTATCAATCAAACAGTAACAGGCCGGACTCCTCTTGCATTCTTTCGCTTCATCTGTTACCAGGAGCTGCAGCACAGATTCGTCTGCTGCTCTTCACACAACCCGGCCGATCTCTTCCGGGCTCGGGTCAGATCTGTGTCTGATACATCATCGTCCAACCCTGCCTCAAAGGACAAACCTCAACCCAGAGCCTCCCCGCCAGCACATGGATACGTCGACACAAAACCAAGAACATTCATTTTGACGGGCCTCAAATGAAAGCCCTAGCTCTCACTGAGGGCTGTGCTTTTGGAGGAAAACTCCAAAAATACATCTGCAAGGCTGTTGGTGTTTCACTCTCAGAGTGAAAATATAAAAGGAAAAAACAGGATGAGTGAAATGATCTTGGAAAACGTCCAAGCAGCCTTCCAGAGGGAAACTTATGGTGCTGATGTTTATGGATTTGTGGAGGAGGGAAATGTTGATAGGCCTCTGGCAGAGGGATCCTGCTCAAGGCAGATGGATGGATCACATGACCACTTTCTTGGTCCAGACAGCTGTTGCCTCCATCTGTACCATCTATGACCTGCTGCTGTCAGCCTCCTCTATGCAGTAGTGGGAAACTGCTCAGTGCACAAATAGGGCAAGAATAGCGCACCTGTGGGGGAGCATGGGGAACAGTTTGACTCCAATTTCTGTAAGCTGAGATCAGTTTATTTCTACTGGATATCCTTGTGTCTGATCATACGCTCTGGCCCTAAATCTCTTTTTATAATGTTTATGAAGTTAATTGCATTGCTATATTCTGGGCTATGAACACAAACACTTTATCTGAACTTAAAAACTAGTAATGAGGATTGATTAAAATTATTGGCAACTATTTTGATAATTGTTGTTAATTAATTTTTCGAGTAAGAAATGTGTGAGTATCTTTGTGTTTTGGACTTCTAAAAGACATTTATAGACACCACCTCTGGCTTTAGGAAATTGTAATTGTCATTTTTCATAATTTTTGGAAATGTTTTAGATGCAATGATTATTCAAAAATTAAAATAATCATTTGTTGCAACCTAATGAAAACCTTAAAACTACCTAGGTCTATCAAATCTGGATTTTTGCAGGTGCACACAAACCCAGTATCTTGAAAAGGTAAATTTTTCAATTTGTCTTTGTTTGTCAATTGTTGGATTTGTGACGTAGTGGGTTAAATTTTGATTACTCAAGCTTGTATTACAAGATTTAGGCTCTGAAGACAAAAAAGAAGACGCTCATTCTTAATGTTTTAGGCTTTAGGTGAACTCATAAGAGTATCCATAAGCCAGACAGACTTGGTTCATGTGTCCTTGCTAATCAGGAACCAGTGAGCGGAGGACAAACGAGGGAGGGAGGCCTGTTCTGATGACGCCTGCTCCCAGGGACAGGGAGTCACATCTGTGTCCTCTCCTAAGGTCAGCTCTTCTTCACTGTGTGTGACCGCGCTGTAAAAATGTTCCCGTCTGCTCGCTGAGCAAACATGAAAACACACTCAGATCTGAAGGGTGCATTACAGGGAGAGGCGAGGGAGACGTCTTGACAGTGTGTTGGCAGAGACTGTAAGGAGGCGGTTACATCTGGTTTGGGGTAGAACTGAGGCCCACAGTGAGACAGTCGTAATGTAGATTATAGATGCTGTTAAATCATTATATACTGTATATATATACAATATATTACTAAGTCAAAATATCTGCTGTGAAAAAGGTCCCACATTCTCATTCCCATGCTCAAGGCATTCACTATCAAACATGCACATAGTCACTTAAAAATACAACACACATTTCTCCCACTAACGTACACAATTCTACCCTCTTCCTGTTTGGTTAAGTCAAACATATATTTGAGTTGTGTGCAGTGTTGCCAGACTGGGAGGTTGAGCTACGTTTCATTTCATTGGGTGGGTAAAAATAGCTTTGGGTCTCTCCTCCCATTAGTTTGACATGAAGAGACTGATAAATGATAAACCATTGAAAACCTAAACTAGATTATAATTATTCCCTCTAGAATTATTATTCAGTCAAAGCTCTGTGATAAAAGACTTGTAAAAGTTTACATCTGTTCATATATGTAAATATCCTTATTATCACATTATCCAAAAGAGTATGTAGGAAAAAAAAGAATTGAATTTTATAGATATTTATGTTCGTTTTCAACTATACAGTTTTATCCCTCTGCTAAATGGAAATTCAAAATGAGGCAATTTTTTTGACGGTTTCTAGGCTCTCCTTAGATTACTTTATATCAGTCAAATCTGGCAACACTGAACTGGTCTGTTCCATCTTACCTGTTTGTCTGTTTAGTTGGTGTTATCTATTTTGATATGTCACATAGCACTAATAAATATTCAGTCAGTTTGAGTAGTAATAGTAACTGCTGAAAAGTAAGGATAGCCGTATGACTGTCATGTGCTGCAATGAAGAGGGGGAAAAAAGGTTTCAGTGGGATGAATCATCTGCAAATGCTTTAACAAATTCCCTGAAATGTGTTTGTAATGGTTAACAGCAAGTTGAATTTGAAGCCACCTACTGATCTTTTTTTTTTTTTTTGTCCTTTTTTAAAATACTTAATCCTGGACTGCTGTCAGAAAATGTCAGTTTAACGATTGCAATTCAATTCTGTACTGCTCCCTAGTGCTCAGACCCAATACTACATACACACAGTGCTGCCCATATGAGGTTTCTCATGTTACAGAGTAAAATACTCTGAATAGTGTAATCGTTATCATCCATCACATTCATTTAAAAATGTGACAGAAGCTACAGCTGACTTCATTTTGAAATACAGACTGGAGACTATAAAGTGTTTGTAGTCTCATAGCTTTCCAAGATCAAGAATGATTTTTCAAACTCAACTTTTATTCCAACATGAATGAGGAAGGCCGAGGAAGATTGTGTGATATGATAAATATCCAGAAAAGCTACTAATAAACCTTGTGGTGAGATTGTTCTGTCAACTGTTGTGACGAAAAGGTTGAGAATGAACTTTCAGCCTCAACTGGAAAATGTATTTTCACATTTATTTTGCTTTTTTAATTGCAGGAGAAAAAGCCTGAGCAGAGACTCCAACAAGACACACATAAGATAAAAACAAATCAAATCATGACATAAAATGTACAGGTAACCAACCTCAGATGAGGTCAGAGCATTTTCTTTCACAGAGAAAGTGTTACTGTGGTCTGAACCCAGTACTATGACAGTGACAAGGTCTGAACACACGACACCAGACAGCTCATCTAAAACAAAAGCTTTAACTCGTGTGTTTCAGGTTATTTTGCACATTTTCTAACCAGCTGAGAAGCTACAGTAGACTCCCCAGTGATCACTAGTGTAACGTCCACAGTCCAGCTTCTCCAGTCCCACCAGGGCCATGTGGTCAGGGGCCAGGCGTGGGACGCCGTCCTTGGTAGCCGGGCGGAAGTAGATTCGGTCGAAGCGGCAGCGACTGATGTAAGGAACAGTCTTGTTGCTGTTGGTTTTGGTGTCCCATGTGTAGCGGCAGTGCTCCTGCTTTCCCAGTCGCTCCCACACGTCGCAGACACTGGGGGGCAGCCCCACCTTGGCCACCTGAGATGGAGCCCGGGGCAATAATTACTAAAGATGTACACTTTGTGATTACATGTATGCGTGAAATGAAAACCAAAAAAACACTGTAAGCGCAAACATGTTGTTTTGTTGCAGACATTTTTTGGACTTTTGAGAGATCAAACATATATTTTAAGTCATGATGCAAAGACAAACGACTGACCTCAGTGTCCCTCAGGTTTGTGTCCCCCCCAAACAGGACGGTGACATCGTCTGGTGCCTCTCTCATCCTCTGCATCGCCACTCGCAGCTGTTTCATCCGTTCCTCTGCGTGGCCTTTACAGCTTTCAAGGTGGGACGTCATGAGGCACAGCTTCTGGCCTTTGAAATTCACCTGATTGCAAAGACAAGAAACCGACTTTGTGTCAGCGAAGGCGAGCTGGATTTAAGCACATGCCGTCGAGCATTTGGACAACTATCTGCGCACGAACCTGAGCTACAAGCAGATTCCTCATCATTTGAGTGGTGGGGTAAGTTACTATCTGGCTCTCCACGAATTTAACTCGTGACTTCTTCAGCATCATCCCAGCGAAGTAACCGTCTTCACCACCTGGTCAGCACAAGAGGAGAGATAATTATATATAGTAATACAATAAAAATAGTAGAACGCATCGCAACAGGAGTGCTGACACACTTCCAGTGAAAATACCTACATCATAGGTCTTTTACACAGCAGACATTTTGACTTAAAGCAGGAAAACCAAAGGTGTTACTAATAGCATTAAATAATGGTTATGTTCAAGTGTCCCAGTAAGCCATGACAGTGTGACTGTGAGCCAGCATGCACAACACCTGGACCCTAAAACTGAAACAGCTAAATGGATTTCAATCATTAATTTCATTATTTACACATGTCAAAAAGTATTCTGTGAAAAAGACCTGTTGAACATACTGCACCTTCAATGATTAGGTAGCTGACAGCCCGTTTCTTCAAGTACTGGACGTAAGGTGGAATGAGCTCCTGTAGGAACACCACGTCAGGAGTGTATCTACATGGAGAGAAGATTCACTTTTCAAACACCTTCTGCGTTCCCTTGTCCTAATAACCCGGGGCAGCGGCGGTCTGACATGTGACCTCTGCGTCCTTGAGAGCTATACACTGTATCTCCAGGGTATCAACAGGGTTTAATCAAGAATATTGGATTTCCCACCAAAATTAAAATATCATGTGATGGCATCAAAGATGAATGGTGTATAAACACAGCTTACAACACTAAGTAGGAGCACAGGCCTCTGGCGCGCTCTGCAAGGTTGTCTGTATCAAGTCCATCCACGTTCCAGGAGATGAGTGACAGTTTGTTGTCATCTTCCTCTGGGGGTTTGCGTGTGGAGGCTGGACTGTCTGCGGTCAGATCGATACTGGAAAATTTTCAGACATTGTTAATTAATTTGGAGTTGTTAAATGTTGGGTGGCTATAACAGAAAGAGTGCTGCACAGTAACATTAGCTTGGGCAGTGACAGAGGAGGGAGGACAGTAGACTTACCAGTCTCCTGGACGTTTTTCCTCAACCTTCTGCCTCTTTGTTTTGGGGCTGGCCTGTGTGTCTGGAAAATCTTCAAATACTCTCTCCATATCAGCCTCAAAGAATGAGTTCAACGCTCTCTGAAAGACAAGTTAAATCAGGAACACCTGCCAAAACATTTTCATGCCATGCATAAAAGATTTTTAAACATTAATTAGCACTTTTTTATTACTAGAAGCTGAGCTAATCAGTAAAATAAGTTACAGCTGCGGAATAATGGCCTACAGCCACCAGCTGTAGCATTCTGTATCCAGCTGCATAAGTAACCTATGCCTGCATAGGTTACTTATGCAGTGTCACAACTGACAGTGTGAGTTTATATTGCTACTGTACCTCCATCTCCCACTCATTTTCGGCCAGGTAGCACTGAGCCACAGCGCTGTCGCTTCCCGTTATCGCAGCAAACTCATCGCAGAGGCGACTTCTTTTTTCTTCCACATTAGAAACTGACGGTTTGTCCGAGTCGGATGTAGACGCCATCTTTTCTAGCTAGCGGTTTTAATCACAGAGTCACACAAGAAGAGTTCAATTTAAACGTAAACATCACTGCATCTTGTGCATCCGTGAAATGCTTCCGGGTGAACTTGCTGACTGCAACAAACAAACAAACTAACGTTGCTTTGTAGGATTAAAGGTGAGCAACTCCAGGCTATGTGCTACAGTTACTAATGAATATCGGCACATGCTTCGTTAGGAGTGCGGTGTTTTTACTTTCTGAACTAAAAATCTGACGGAAACACAATTTAGCTAGCAGATTAGATCCGGAAGTGGAGGGAGTGGGGTGAAGAGTCCTCCCAAATAAAAAGTACTGATTTTGAATCTTGTAGAAATGGTTGAGATCACAGGTTGAAATGGTTGAAATTCAGTGATACCAATGGGAGGTGGACGGGATGGGGTGGGGCAGAATGGAAGATTGTAAATTAAAAACATAAAAGAAAAATATATAGATATGCAGCAACCAGGTCAAAACAAAACAATGAAAAGAACTAACAAACCAAAGGGAGGTTCTGTTTTTTTCTTCTGGCAGTCCCCTGACAGTAAAGTAGACCTGCAAGTAACAATTTGACATACTTAAGCATTTTCATTTTATTCTACTGTATACTCCACTCCAACTTCAGACGGAAATATTGTAGGGTACTTTTTTACTTATGATTTATCTGACACTTACAGATACTTTTTATGTCCTGCATCCAGCAATACCTTGAATGTTTTATTTTTAATGTTATTTCAAACTGTAGACCTACATCTCATTTATCTAAAATGTTTTATGCTTTCATATCTCATTAATAACACTTTCACTGACGTTAGGTTGAAGACCTAATTTACGACGGTCTGTAGAATTGGGAGTGCAACAGAGGTGTGGGCCGAAATCACTATTATTAATTTGTATAACCCCTGCATTAGTCCAGAAGAAAATTATTTTCAAGGTTAGGGGTACCAGTAGTTTGGGTGAGGAAAAATGCACATAACTATGGGAAAGTAGAGAGATAGAAACAGAAGAGTTCTGGAAGACTGTATAGATAAGCCATAGCCATTTAATATGGCTATATTAAATAATGGCCAACCAACATGGTTTAAAACAAGCCGGGCAAATTCATCCTCTAGCCTACAGATATCACAATTAGGTCAGCAGAATTGGCAATAATCAGTGGATGAGAAATACTGGTTCAGGGTCAGAATACAATGGGAAGGAATCATGTGCCCATAATAAGCAGATTTGCCTGATGCTTCATTGAGGAACCTTCTCACTGAGACTTAGTATTAAAAGAGCAAATTGGATAGAATTTGAGAAAAATTAAAATACGGAAATATCAACAGAAGGAATTGAGAGAGGGGTGGAATAGCTTTCTAATATGGTCAGTTGCATAAAACTATCCACACGAAAAGAAATCCCCAAAGAGGAACAATGGTCCCATGGTAGAATGAGGAATGTAACTGAGCCAGAAATAGAGCAAGCAAAAAGTTTGAAAAGCCATTCACTAGAGAGCTATGCTATTGAATACAAGCGACTTAGTGTGACAAAGAACTCAAACCATGTACCTTGAAAATGCCTAATACATTGGGAATTCCAGTGAAGAGCAAGAAAGATTTAAACAAACTTTGGAAATAAAGTAAAATCTAGTAATGTGGAGAAAATTGTTATTAATATTAATGTGTGCCCTCCAGTCTTTTGGTTAGTTGTACAATCATGCCTAATCCAAGAACCTGAAGATCAAAAATTTTAAAGAATTCACAAAGCAGGATGTGAGGTGGGTTTTATATGGTTACCAGCAAACATGGGGTGTAGAGGGAAAAGAGGAAGCACATTACTTGGCAAAGAATGCTGCTCATGAGGATAGAATAGAAATTGCCCTACAAGATGGACTGTCAGAGCTTCACACCATGAACAAGTCAGTAAAAGAAATGTGGTAGCCTACAATACATGGGAAAAAGAAAAGAAGGGGAGGTAATACTTTACAGTAAACGAGTGGAAGAATATTGCCTACAAACTAAATATTCAGTTGTCAAACACCTGGATGGCAAATGTGAGTGTGGAGACAGTAAGACACATCCAAATCCAGTAAAAGAATGACTCACTTCAAAAGAGAAAGCTGTTCAAAGCAGGGGAAAGTGATTAATCTTACTTTGAAGAAGGTTTTCAGGCATCCAGGTTATCCAAGGAAGGCTAAAATCAAGGGACAGGAGCACTAACAAACCAGCGGTATCGATCATCTCGTCAATGACCCCACAGAAGTTAAATAGCTGAGTTTCCCTACCTTCAAGTATCTTCAGCCAAGTGCAGTTGGACTCTTACTTTTACTTTATTCAACCTGATAACTGGACTGAAAGAAATAAACTGATCTATCTGTACAGTATTAGACTATATACAAATAGAAATACCAGTGTTATGCCGAATTTTGCATGCATGCACCTCCAAATACTGCTAACGCTATAATATTCTTTGTGGGGTCCATCAATGGTGATAAATTATTAGTATATATTTTAGAATCAGAATCAGAAGGAGCTTTATTGCCAAGTAGTGTTTTACACATACAAGGAATTTGCTTTGTGTACACGCAGACAGACATACAGCTGACATAAATAGATGTAGAAATACATAAATATGTAAAAAACAAATGCAAGTTATATAAGAATAACAGAAGAATAGAGAAAGATAATACAACTGACAATATAAAAAAATAAAAAATAATAATAAAAATAACAATGGAACAACAACAATTTACAATTAACAACAAATATGTGCAATGTGCCAGGTTTGTGCATGATATGACATGAAGTGATATTTACATGTGCAGAGAGGATGCTTGTTGATGAGGCTAGCTCCAGACGGGTAGAAGCTGTTTTTTTTGTGGCGAGAGGTTTTGGTCCTGATGGACCACAGCCTCTTGCCAGAGGAGAGAGTCTGAAACAGTTGATGGCCAGTGTGGGAGGAGTCAGCTGCAATCTTTCCTCGCCTCAGAGTCCTGGAGGCGTGCAGGTCCTGAAGTGATGGAAGATTGCAGCCAATCACCTTCTCTGCAGAGTGAATGATGCGCTGCAGCCTGCCTTTGTCCCTGGCAGTGGCAGCAGCGTACCAGATGGTGATGGAGGAGGTGAGGATGTAACTCAGTGATGGTGGTGTAGAAGTGCACCATCATTGTCTTTGGCAGGCTGAACTACTTCAGCTGCCGCAGGAAGTACATCCTCTGCTGGGCCTTCTTGGTGAGGGGAGGTGATGTTCAGCTCCCACTTGAGGTCCTGGGAGATGATGGTGCCCACAGTGGCGATGGGGGAGTCACTCAGGATGATGGGGGAGGGTGTGGCTGGGCTCTTCCAGAAGTCCATGAGCATCTCCACTGTCTTCAGAGCGTTGAGCTCCAGACTGTTCTGGCCGCACCAGGTCACCAGGTGGTTGATCTCCCACCTGTAGGCAGACTCATCCCCACCAGAGATGAGCCCAATGAGGGTGGTAGCGTCCGCAAACTTCAGGAGCTTGACGGTCTGGTGACTGGAAGTGCAGCTGTTGGTGTACAGGGAGAAGAGAAAAGTGGAAAGAACGCAGGCTTGAGGGGAACCAGTGCTGATGGTCCTGGAGTCAGAGACATATGAACGTTTAGAGTTGTTAATATTGTATTAAGCTTAGTAAAAGCAGCATTCCTTGAGATTCAGCAAAAAGATGATAGCCACTCTTGATCAATGTGCACAACAAAGTGTCTGAAAAGGACCTTAAGAGGTGGATGCATAATTCAGCAGAACAGATCATGATGTAGGCTTCCTATAGAGATTTGCATCCACCTCTTTTCTCAGCATAAAAGAGCGTTACAAGCACAACCCGCGAGGTGCATGCAATTCTCGGCAGGCATGCAGAATATGTCACAACACCTGTCAAAAGGAACATAAATAACAAACAGTAGAGGCAGCAATGGACCACTATAGCGTCTAGTCTACCTAATCCAAAGAAGAAAGTTTCGCCCGGACGATTTATCGAACGCAATAGTTTCCGGGTACGAAGTAAACAGAAGTTTGACATTGGCTGTATTTGTTAGCATTAAATATGGTTTCGCTGTCTATAAATTCGTTAAAACAAATAATGAGAGCAATGGTAGATAATCCAGGCTTCGACAGAGTCCTGAAAAAGGTAAAGATAAACATTCTGCGACATTTCCTGACCGTATTAAAGTGTATTTCTGTGCGTTTAAACGCAACAGTGTATCTAACGTTGACTGGACGTGTTTTCCGCAGGTGGACGTTTTGTCTGCCAGCCCCGGTAAGGTGGTGTGTGAGATGCGGGTAGAAGAGGAGCACACTAACCGTGGAGGGACGCTGCACGGCGGGTTGACAGCCACCCTGGTCGATGTCATCTCCACCATGGCGATCATGTACTCTGAGAGGGGAGCACCGGGAGTCAGTGTGGACATGAACATAACGTGAGTCCACTGACTGTGTAATTCGTAAAAAAGTCAGATTTATTCCCCACTGACCCCCCCCCCCAAAAAAAACCCTTGTCATCATCTATAGAGTTAAATGGACATTTGAGCCTCCTTGTAATTTTAATTTCATGTTTAAAAACGCATAAATCCACTGTAATTAAGGATTTTACAGCTTTCTAATACATGTCAGGCAAAGCTGTAGCTATGATTTTAGAAATACTGAGTAATAAAAATCTCTGAAATGCTTTGAGTGCAGTGTGGTGCAGTCATTAAAATCTCAGTGTCCATGTCAGTGCCTGCAGCCCTGATTTCAGGCCTTGACCTTCACTGTGTTAACCAGGTCAGATTGAAGATTATCTCCATTAACTACAGATGACTGGGGACAAATATCAATGTCTTACAGATACATGAATGCTGCCAAGATCGGAGAGGACGTACTCATCACTGCTCAGGTTCTGAAGCAAGGACGGACACTGGCGTTTGCCACCGTAGACCTCACCAACAAGGTCACGGGGAAGCTCATAGCACAAGGAAGACACACTAAACACCTCGGCGGCAGCTAAACCGTCTCCCCTCTGTGCCTGTCTGTAAATCACACATGTACCTGACCAGCCAAAACAAGGGACTCCTGAGTGAAGATGTAAACTAACCTCTACCTGTAGATTGCAAAACTGACTGTGTAAAAAAACACCATAAAATAGTCGACAGTACTACAAATCCTTCTCACAGCTGGTTACTTACCGACTGGTGCCATTGTCATCAACAGTTAAGAGAAACTAATGGCTGTGTGGTCAGTTAGTCCTGACCAAACTACTGTGTCAATGAAACTGTTTCATACACATGCAATAAAAGAAATAGACAAGAGTTATGCTTTCAGAATTTGCATTGTATTGGGATAAGCTCAGCAGTATTGATTTGAGAATCAACAGAAAAAACCCAGAAGTTACACGCCTTATACCCTTTCAACTGAACACACTGAATCAACACGGAGCAAAATTATATCTACTATGTACTTTGTATTCTTTGAAAAGCAAGCCTGCAGAACCCAATTTTAATCTGATGAGCATGGTAGCAAATTATCTTAATTTTAGTAGGTCAAATTAAACAAATCTGTTAGCTTTCAGCAACTTTAGTTAGGTATGTTAAACATTAAGTATGTCACCATTTCAGTTTCTCACCAACCCACATCCCAAATAAAACAAAACATAAAACATCAGTTTTCAGTAGCTTAAATGAATGGTGCATGAATGGCCTTCAACATCTAACCAACATGTCCCAACTTTGTGTACAATGCCTTTCAAGTCACTCAAGGCCTGCCTAGCATGTTTCTGCCTAGCATGTTTCAGAGGACAGCAAATGACACCAAAACATTTTTTTTGAGAAAGTCCAGCAAAAAAAAAAAAAAAAAAAAAACTAAGGCGGTTTATAAGAAGCAATACCTACAACATGTGATTTGACAAATATTGTTCATCTTGTTTTCTTTTCTTTTACAGGTGTTTTAATGCCTATTCACACCTGTCCTTGGTCAAAAGATTGTGTAAAGTTGTTCTAGAAACCCCATTGACATTACAAACAAGCTTTAACAATCCTTTCTTATGACAACAAGGATATAAAACACGTCCATCTGAGAACCACCGTGAAGACCTGTGTATTGTTTGTTCCTGTTTTGATGCAACATAAAGAGTTCCTTCAATGACCGGTGCTGTTGACAGTGCGGCTCCAAGAGAACAACCAACCACTCAAAATCAATGTTCGTGCAGGTTCAAATAAACAAAAATGGATGAGTGAGCAGGAGGGAATGAACAGGGAGTAAAATAAAGAAAACGGGGGAACCAATCCAAAAATGGTGGAGAGAAGAGGAGTAACATTGGGAGTGGGAGGGGGGACAAGGATAGGAACTGAATCAGCTTCAGGTCAGGGAGGGGAGAACGAGTAGGTAACAAAAAAGGAGAGATCCAAGCACAAGTTCAAATCTTTTAAAAGGAAACAGGTGGAGATGAGTACATCAATTTGCTTCTGAAGGCTTAGGCAGGAGGGAAGGGAAGGGCTTCTCCCTGTGTGGCTGAGTGGAACAGGAAGCCCTAGTCAGGCATGTATGGGCGGAGGTGATCCTCGATGTCTCCCACACCCCAGCAGGTCAGCTGGTCCTGGGGCAAGTACAGACAGAGGCTGCACAACTTGAAAACTGTGGCCTTGGTTTTAGGAGTCTGCAAGAGTGACGGACAGAGGACATTTGTGATGCACCGTTAGGAGGCTGTCTGGTGCTTCAGTTGATCAAAACAGTAACAACACAACTGACTCACCTGTAAGTGTTGTCTATCCATGAAGAGAAATACAGACTGAGTTGGGTTGTTCATGACCATTCCAGCCTTGTCTTTACGACCCAAAGCATGCAAGCACTGCTTCTCGTAGTCTCCATGATGAAATTCAAACTTGGCCTGTAAATCAGAGGACAGACTTGTGAGACAGGAAGTACATTTTGTTACATCCAGGCTAGGGCGGCATGATACACGCATCAAATTAATTGGATTATTAAAATGTAAAATGTCTACATTGTGAAAATCAATCAATTCTGACTGCACAAATATTCTCTGGTAAAATGTGGATCATTTTCACTGTTTTCTAACATTTTATTAACTACACAATCATTTAATCTAGAAAGTAATCTGCATATTAATCTATAATGACAATAATCAATCGTTGAAGGCCTAATTCATCATTTACAACCTAAGCAATTCCGGAACCGATCGGCTACTGTCTGAAGACCAGACAATATCTGCATTCATATGCATGTATCTCGTTATAGAGATTGCTGCCTGAGAAATCTGATGAGGTGGCAAGTTCTGACCTGAACAGGCCTGAAGGGTTCATCTTCGGCCCCCTTCCATCTGGAGAACAGCAGACAGACAATCTTCTCAATATCGTTGCGTGGCCAAAGGATAAAGTCCATCTCCTGTGTGCAGCCTATCACATCCTACAGCAATATGAGAAGAAGAAACAATGTAAAACACAACTGGTCTTCTTCAAGCTATCCCCTCCTGAAGATGGTGCACTGACTTACCCTTCGCATTGACTGGTATCGGGGGGCGTGTAGTTGCACAACGTCTTTTTGCAGGAGTTCTATCGAACTCTCGAGAGAGTAGCTGGAATCCCGCACACCTCGTAGGATGTTTTCTTCATAATTGTTGGTCATCACTGGCACCACTTCAGCTACCTCAAAAAGTGCAGACTTCTTCTTCTTTAATGTAAAAACACATATTTTAAGTCATTTTACTACGTCATATAATACGGAAAAAGTGTGAACAGGACTTTTAAAGGTGTAATGAACAAATTATGAAAATAAAATGTTACGGTATAAAAGACGAGTGTGGTTGCAGATTGTGTCAACAATTACTGTGGTATTCCATTTCACTGACGAACCTTTTCCTTGAAAACGAAGGCTATATAAATCTTGAAGTCAAACTGATCCGCCAAAGATTCCCTCTTCTTCCGAAGTTGAGCTCGAAGTCGATTTCTTGTCTGGTTTCTTCGTGAAGTTGGGTCCCCCATGGTTAAATTTTGATGGTAGTGTCTTCCTCTCTTGTGCAGAATATTTTGGCTACACTCTCTACTTTTGTATTTATATGTTGGATAAAGGATGGAGCTAGCTACCCTTTACAGAAACAACGCATCAAACAACCCAAGGCTAGATCTGTGAATTACTCACTAACTACCAACTGAAAAGGTCAACAAATCAGAAACAAAACTAAGTCATTTTAATTTTTGTAAAAGGGCAGTGTTCAGGAGGGGAATGATCAACAAGCGAAGACTACATCTCCTTATTACTGGTTCAGAAATCCATGTTTTAAGACATGACTTTTAAGCCAAATTAGCGTTTTCTTTTCAACCTGCCATCGATAAGGGATTACAACAGCTTTTACACTAAAGAGCAAATCAAATTTCACTTACGTTTCTTCTTTGAATGTGACTGAAATCAACAGAAACAACTGCTACTGTAAAAGCCCATACCGGCAATACATATTTTTGCCAGTGAATTTGAGGAGTACAGAGACTAGCAAGCAGACAAATACTGTATTGTGTGGGTCATTTCAAAGTCCCTCATCCATGGCTGTCGTTTTGTGTTTGCTTCTCTGTAGAGACTGCGTTATGTGCGAGTTACAGACGGATTGGGGATACAGACGAACATGGCAAGTAAATACAGATGCCATGAGATATTGGCACCGGGTAACATCGAAGACTACTGCGAAAGTACCTTGACATTTCCTTGACTGTTACTGCCACTCATTTGGCCCACGGCCTGCGGTGCTGCCACGGCTGATAGTCATGATGTGGGCGTATTTTTAGCACACTAGCTAAGGTGAGCTAGCAAGCTAACGTAGGCATTCACTTCCAACACTAACTAGTAGTGAACCAACAATTAGCTACATCTTATCTTCTGACTGATTGGCTTAATTGAGGCCTATGTGCGGTTGGCTAGTTAGCGTACAGTCATCTTTCCACGCGTTTACATTTTCTCGCCCGGTTCAACGTGACTGCCAGTGCTGTGAGAGGTAAGAGACCTACAAGGTTGACTGACTTAACTGGTTTTGCTTGTGCTAAGCATTTTTAGCTCGGTGTAATTTACTTCAGTCGTGTCTTGTCAGCAGCTACATCGACAAAAAAAATCAACCAGGGAATCAATAGCCAACCAACGACAAACGGTGAATGGCGAAAAAGACGTTAGCCAAACAAAATCCCCCCTTTCCACGTCTGAAGTTTCGAGGTGTTTGCTGCGCTTGTTTCTTTCTCTTCTTTTCTTCAGTCGTCACAACCTCCGACTCGCCCTGCTGCATGCCATGTCAAGATAAATCGACAATCCAGCTGAAATCCTCCGTTCTTTCAGTCGACGTGTGGCGTGTTCTGTCTCCCGGTGGGCCCATATTTAACGGCGTGTCGTCCAACGTTTTTCCGTTTGGTTTCTTTGTGTGTTTTTTGGGCAGCTAATAATGGCACAGACAAGCTCGCCGATCCACAGCCTCCCCAAAATGGCCGCACAGTCAACAACGAACTACAAAGACGTGACGTATATTAACATGTGACCGCATGAGGGGAAAAACAACAGCAGGGGGGGGGGGGGGGGGGGATCTTCCTCGTGAGTGGCGCCTTTACCACATGACGTAGTGGGCGTATTTAAGTCCCTGGCGCGAGATCCTCAGAAAAGAGAAAAAGCAGTTCGAAGAACGAGGCGCGGCTCATCAACGGTAAGTCGATTTAACGCGTATATACTTTAATACTGTCTTAATTTGATTATCTCCACATTTGCTGCCCTTTAAGTATTACTGACGGCAGGTACCACTGTGCTAGCCATAGCCGCGTTAGGTTAAATTAGATTATTTTAAGAGTTAGCGGACTCTACTGGCCTCTGTAACGTTAACGTTACCCCATCCCCCCCCCCCGTTGTATCGAAATTTAACGTTTTTTGTTTTTTTAATAAAAAAAACAACAACACACTAACAGTCACGGTTGTCACGTTTACAGCCAGACGCTAAATTTTAAACTAACGTTAGTTTAGTTTGGGTTTTTTTTCAAATGTGTGTCACACTTATTCACTTTAGGATGTAACGTTAGTGACGATGCGTTTAATAATTTCTCCATCAGGTCTCTGGAAATGAGTTTCAGTGGAAAGCTAAAACACAGCCACCAGATGTCTAATGAGAATATTAAGGTGAGTAATTGTCCCTGGGTTTGAAATATGTTCCTACAGAATAATGTATTATAACATCAAATGAACAGTTGATCAAGTTTTTGGGCTGAAATCAAAGAGGTAATCAGTACGATTATAGGTCTCTTGGCATTGTTGGCGTGGATGATGGCATCAGAGGCCATATTGATGTATAATTAACAGCTGGTGAGAGACCGGAAATGTATACCACTAGAGGATAAATCAATCAGTTGTGTGCCCAATCACCATGCTGCATGGTCCCCAATACAATTAAAAGCATACAAAATGCATATTATGTAACATGTATCAGAAGGAATTGCCCCCAACTTTTTACTTGAGGGGAACAATAAAGATCTGTAGTTAAAAAACAAACACAGGTTTAAATACTGAATTCTATCTTGCTGCTTTCTCTTCAGAGCGGGTGTACTTGGTAACAGCCATTAACACTATCATCTCCAATGACAAGTCAAAATTTCTGTGAAGCCTATCTGAGCAGGTTGGTGCTAAATTACTACAGCAATGAAGAGACTAATCTGTCAGTACTGAGTGGCAAGAGACCGTTTCAGATCGACTCTTTTGAAAGAGTGAAGGTTGAATCTGCTGTGATTGCTCAGATAAATGTAATGTCCTTTACAACTGTAGTGTTAAATTACACAGTAACAATGGCAGGGCTTACACTTCTGTAAATTAGACTGTGTTTTGCTTTATATATGGCTGTATCTCCAAGTACTTAAGATGTACATGGACCCACAGGTCATGCCTCCATGAGCCACAATCTCCCCCACTGCCCAAAAGTCAAGATCACCTTATTATAGGTGTGAAACACAAGTGTGTTGTGAAGCTGTGGCTAAACATTAACAAACTGACCTTGTTGGCTGCTCTGTAATGAGCCTTAACAAAAAACTTTCCCACAGCTGTTAAAAGAATTTGGGCCCTGCCCCTGTTCCCACACCTGTGGGCCTGTTTAACATCACAGCAGTGAAAGCCACTTCACTTATGCCCTCTCCCATGGTGATGGTGTAATTAAAGTAAAGCATGCAAAGTGATGCTAAGCCCCAATGAATAAACTCATTGAGAAAGAACAGAGTTCATGTGACTCAGTGAGTTTCTCAAGACTCATCTGGTGGGAAGAGGTTAGATCCTGCTTTTGTTTACCATTCTTATATCTGTAATTTGTGATCTACTCAGTTATAAGGTGTATAACACTTGTCTTCCAGAGCTTTTTTACATCATCTCAAAGGGCAATGGGACCCCCCAGGCAAACCCTACAGGTCCTCCAACCCTCAGCAGTCAACAAAGACTTGGGAAGGTCAGCTCAGGTATGCAATGGCTCGTTGCTGGAAGTCATTTGATTTGGGTGACTATATTGTTCAGGTAACTGGATCAATTATTTGTATAGAATTGTTCCACTAAAGAGTGATCTATAACAGTCTTCTGTGTTTTTAAACACTTTGAAAAATGAGTTTGATCTTCTAAATGACTCTTTTCTTTTAAAGATGGGGAAGGTCATTCCCAAACGAAAACAGTGGAGCTCAGAACAATCTAGAGGACCAAAGAGGGTGAAGGTAGAAGTCAAATCCACACAAACAGAAGAAACTCAGTGTTTGACAGATGGCATGTCCAATGAAGCATATGAACTTATGGTCAAAGGTAGGGATTCATAATCAATACACACTAACACACACACTGTGGAATCTAACCTAAGAATTAGATTTATATTTTTTTTCTTCATGTTGCCATTGTAGAAACGCCCCCTTCCACCTACTGGAAAGAGGTAGCTGAGGAGCGTCGGAAGGCCTTGTACAATGTTCTACAGGAGAATGAGAAGGTGAGTTAATCACTAAGAGACAGCTAATGTTTAGCTCTAAATTGAGCTGTTCCCACGCTCCCACTGACTGAGTCAGCCTTAGTTGGCTCCCATCCAGCTAGCATTGAATCTTCAAGTAACATTGCACCTAAATGCATTGATTGACTTGAAGTTTATTTCCTCATTTTTGTTTAAAGCAATTCTGAGACACCAATTCTATAATAATAAAACCTGTACACTCATAGAAATTATGTGGACATTGGGCCTCATCAGCTTATTTTTCTGAATGATTTTGTTTAATGCATTTTGAAGCAGCTTAAAATTAACTTACTAAAGCCAGGTTCAGTTTGCCTGAGCCTTTTCATGCTTAATGATAACATTTTTTCTCTTTTTTTTTTTTTTTTTTAACAGTTACACAAAGACATTGAAGCCAAAGACGAACAGATAACAACGCTTAAGTGTGAAAATGAAGAGCTGCAGGAGCTGGCACAACATGTACAGTACATGGCTGATATGATTGAGGTAGGCACAGTGGTCTATGTCCTGATGGTTTTTTTTTTTTGCAATAGCTTGATTTTTAATGTCAAACTTTTCCTGTATTGGTAGATGATGTGGTTTAAAACAGTGCTGTGGACATTTGCATTTTCTTGACTCGGGTGTATAAATACTACATGTTCAGATGGGTGGGACCAGTATAATTAAACTTGAACACAAACTGGACTACACTGAGGGACCTCACTTGGTACTTGTAAGTAAACTGTATCACGTCTGCTTTTATTAGAGGCTGACTGGGAAGAGCCCAGGCAATCTGGAGGAGCTGAGGGATATTGCCCTTGATGTAGAGGCCGAGTATGACTACCACAGTGAAGTGGAAGGTCAGAGTGAGGAAGATGATTCTGATTACAGTCAGAGTGACGCAGAGGAAGAAGAGACCTCAGACCATGAACAAGCTGGACCCTCAGGAGAGCAAGATTAACTGACACAGCTCTCCGAAGTCATGGGACTTCGACCTGCTTATACAGGCCAGCAGATTTTGGGCTAATGTGGTGTTTTGTCTTTTTGGGCGGCAACAAAAGCAATGGCTTTCAAAGAAATTCCATGTTCAAACTTCACCATTTTTTGAAACAACTGAAATGTCATGTTTGAGCCTTGAACGGACAGGCTGGCTTTATTTTTAGCTTTTGCTATACTTGTCCTACTTGGAGTAAAGAGGTATTCAAAACTAAGCCAGCAAAGGCAATTTTGTTCCACAGCAGACACTGACATGTCATAGTAGGAAAAGCACAAGTGTAAATGACAAATTAATAGCTGAATTTCACTCAGTTGCTTCAGTTTCAGGGTCCTGGCATTATGCATGCTGGGTGACTGTCTAATGGTGATGGCTTACTGGGACAGTTGCGTAGAACAGAGCCAATGTTAATGTCTTCAGTAATGTTAGAGCACAAGGAGTTCCGGGGGAAACGTCTCTGCTGCTTTTCCAGCTTCTTACAAGCTATAACATACAGAGTAATCCATTGCCATGCTGTAGCTTGACTCGTCTCCTGCAGCATTTAACTTGATGGGGGTTGGAGCGGCGCTTAACATCCCCTTGCATGTAACCAAACCCATAAAGACTATGCTTTGTCAGATTGTTTGTAAAACCAAAATGAACCCCTCAGCCCTCTCACCTTGACTGTCAACCATCTGTAGAAAAATGACCCATGTGACGTAGCGCTTGTCCTATGAGAAGTCAAAATGTGTGCTGTGGAAAGACTCGGCAGTGAATTTTATTTATTTGCTCCAGTGATAGTCCTACATTCACTGTCTGGGTTTACAATGTAAAACATGTGCAATGTTATATCAGTTGTGTACATAGTGTCTAAATTTTTTTTTTTTTTTTAAATGTGTTATGTCTTGTAGCAAGAGGATTTCAGGCCTATAAATCTTGTTGCTTAGTGACATGTTGACTGGCTGTACCCACCATGCGGAGTAGTTGACACCCCTCTGAATGCATTGACCCAAAACATTGTGTAAGCAACAATTCTACTTCTGGGATCCATTCATTAAACGTGGCTAAAAGTGCCTCCTAATATATATATATTTTTTTTTTTTTTATTATAAAAGTGACACTGGAAGGGGCTGCTTGTCTAGATAAAACTAAGGAGTAGTGCCTGAATCTGCAGCTCATACTGGCTAGCGCTCATAGCAAATTTAGTTCATTTGGCTGTCCAGTCTACAACTTGTTTCACTCAATGCTTCTGTGGCTGGGATTTGACTGCAGCAGGCTGTTCAACAAACCTTGAAAGACTCCACTGTTTAATACCTGCTCTGAACAGCAAGTGAACAGTTGAATTTAGCAACTAGAGATTTGACTCGGATGGTAGAGACCATAAACAGTTAGAGTTAATATTGGACTTGTATGAGCCAGGTGGCCAGAACCACAATGCAAAATGGATTGTTGCCCTGTACCTGCAGGATGTGTAAATAAGCAACTGTTCTATTTAACTTAAAAGGTTATGTCAATGTTTGCTACTTATATTCTGCCATTTCCATTTTCCACTACTTTAATGTTTTGACTCCACAATTATCAAATACAAATCAATGCTAAAGATTAAACCAATATGTCAACCTTTGTGGCTCATGGCCCCTTACAAAAGACATTTCTGTTTGTGGCCCCCGGTCAGCTTTCAGATGTCAGAGTTGTAGCAGTTCCACCATAGAGGCACATCTTCAACTTCTCAGTTGGTTTAATTTAAACTGAGGCCCAAAACATCAAGTCTGGAAAAAGGAATACACACTTGAATAGCAGAGCTTTGGTTTTTCTTTTGCTCTGTTAATCATCTCATTCAAATTTATCTTGTGACCCACTGAACTGACTTGCCTAACTGGCCTACAACTAAATCCACCCAGCAAGAATGTAACTCTTAGTATAGAGTATTGTTATGGTATTTTTACTTTAGTAAATGATCTGAGTACATCTTCCACCTCTAGAAATGTCCAAAAATAAAAGGTGTAAAAATAAAGTTTCATACTTTCAATAACTTGTTTTAAAAAGGTAACTTTCCCCTTTACCACAAATCAGTTAAACTTTTTGCTGTGAAAAAAATCTTAGGATTTTGCAGCCTCAATGGATGAGTGCCCTCGAGTGCTTTCTAGTGTTTGATCATTGGCTCAAAGTTACAAATTGAATAAAATGTACCATCGTGACTCAAGATTTCAAATACATTCCCTCTGACACAGTGAAGTACTACAAGGTCTACTGCTATTAGAAATGTATCGGCGCTCCAATTCTCTGCTTCAAGAGCCTTCCTCTCAGTCCTTGTTTTGGTGATAGATGGAAGCTTTTTCTAGGATGACTTGGCTCACCTTCCTGTCAGAGTTTTGAGCTTGGTAACTACCTTCTGTCTTGACAACTTTTGATATCCTTAGCTTCCTTCTCCCAGGTCTGGATCCGTTTGGGGATCCTGCTCTTTGCAGAGCACAGTGACCCATGGTATTCTTACCTATGATTGAGGAACCTGTAAGGTATTAATTCATGGTACTAATCAAAACCAGCAATTCCCATCTTGTTAATACAGTACATAGCCTACACTGTGATAGATTTTCCTCAAACTCGCACCCCTTGCCTCTATCTTCAATGTCCATTGAAATAAATGGGAATTTTTTTTATTGCACGTGTAATGTTAAACTATTATCTGGCCAATAGAAACTCATCCATAAAATCCAACAAAGCACAACTGTGCAGACATTTAAGACTTTCAGTTTTGACAAATCACAATTTTATAGTTTTAATTATGCAAAAATAAACTTTATTGCAACTTTTGATGAGCAGAGGAAATACTGCTAACCACAATAAAGAGTAGTATGCAACTAAATGGATCAGCACGAAAGCTATTGACCACAGAGATGGATAAAGACCAATTCCAGCAAAGTGTACCAAGTTATTCTTAAACCCAATCTCTAAATAATTAAAGATGTGTACATTTTGACAACTTGTACTCTGTGGTAATTAGGAATTAAGAAGCTGACGAATCAACACTGGTCAACTGCAAGTTTGTAAAAGGAAAGTAGCTCACTCAAAATAAAATAAAACACTGAGTGGATGAATTTGATACTTTACCAAAATACTGTATGTATGCTATTCACATCGTGGAAGAAATAAAAGTAACTGTTACTTAAAATATTGACCTTGTTTTACAAAAAGGTCAAAGAGGAAAAAAAACACCATCTTCAGCTCACACATTTACAGTATAATACAAAAGAAAAATACATTTCATAAAAATATTACCACTTGTTTTTTCAATATGGCTTTTGGACTATGCAGTCAGAACCAAATAAGATTCATATATTATGGGTTTGTTTCATTTTTGAGTTGTGCTTCTAAAGATAAGTCTGAGTATTCTGGCCAAAATGCAAATGTGTTGAATACATTCTCCTTAATGAATTATGAGCTATGATTAAAAGGCCATTGTAAAATTAATTCCTCCTTTGGTTACTGTAAATCTTTAAGTAATAAAGTAACATTTCTAATATATAATATCCTCATAGGGTAAAGAAATCTATAATACTATTGGACCATACGGAAATCTTAATCTTGTCCAAAATAATAATTTATCTAATATAATTCATTCAAAATAAACTCCAATTAAAGTTAAGCATGAGATCATTTGCATGGTAATAACATGGAGGCCTTTTTAAACGATATTTCAAATACTTGACCTGATCCAGAACATAAATATACAATCCATTCACATAAAATTGCCATCTGCATGTTTACTGTATCAAGAAAGAATATTAAAATCACAAGGTAAGTAAATAATAAATTAGGTGTGTGAACAAATGTGAGTTTTGTCACAGTGCACTAGCACAAGACTCAGTAGTACAGTTACAATGAGAAAAGGTGGAATTAGGCGCTTAGCTCAGGTCAGTGTTCCCACGTTACAGTTAAGATGCAGGGAAATAAAACAGACCCAAGACATGCCAAACAGAACACTTCATAAGAAAAGCTTAGTTTCTAATCCTGCCATTAGCTCACATACGGTGTTTGAATGTGCAGTTAGCCAAAATGGAGGCTACACCTTTACTCAGCCCAAAGGATCCTCCTCTCTGTACAGTTAGAGAAAGTGCACGATCACAATCCTGAACCAAATTTATTGCCCTCGACTGGCTCCTTACCTAGTAGGAAAAATACATTTACAAAAGAGTGTATTTGTGGAACCCGTCTGCTCGACCGTATCAAGGCTCAAATGGTCAAAGCTGACGTTATCATATGTCTTCTCGTGTTAGCTAGGTGCAAAAGAGTCACGTATGTACAGAAAAATTGCACTTGTTCAACTGCATGTATGAGAAAACTCTGATATGAACTGCTGAGCGAGTGAACCTTGGGCACTGTGCTGACCTATTTCACCTCTAACCTTCAGTATTTTTCCTATTCCTCCACTGATACACAGCTGAGGTCAACATCTGTTCAAGACTGTAAACTGCTGTTACACGTGGGCTTTAAAAACCACAACATCACTTCCTCTCAGAGGCCATTCTCAACTTATTAATGGTCCTCCCTTCCACAAAACACACCTCTTTCACCCATACAGGAATCCCTGAAACTCAAAATGGAACGTACTAGAAAAAAAGAACTTAAAATATATTTTAAATACAAGCACATATATTACACCGGCTGTGTAAAATATGCCATATTTACATGCCTTACAACAGTGCAAATCTTCCGAAAGCGCCAGAAAACATTTCTTATGCAAAACCACCAACTAAAACATGTGATAAATAGTGATTATGCAAAGATCACAGTTAGCATATTGCATGACACAACCGACTTTGTAACAATCAAGATTAATTAAAATTAATCAGCGAGTAAGTGATACAAATGTTGTGTGCAGTGGTGGATAGCTTGGTTAAAGAGGTTATGTGAAGATGTACTGCTCAATTCTAGTTTCCACAGTCTTTGGAGCAGCTTTCATCAGCTTTGTGTTCATTCAAATACTCCAGTTGAAATTAAAATGTGAATGGTGTGCCTGGCTCAGAAAGCAGGGACAGGAAGGGGTGGGGGTGTCTGAAAGTGGAGACGATGGAGGAAGAAGAGGTGTATGTGTGTGTGTGCGCGCGTAGGAGGGGTACAGGTTGTGTGTCTTTGTGGTTAAGAAAACTTTGTTTGGTGTTAGTTCCTTTTAGGAGGCAGTATCAGTGAGAATGGTGATCTATTGTGGCGGGGTGGAGGTCCTTAAAGTTTGTGCCAAAAAAGCAGATCTATAACGTGATGAGTCATTAACAGCCCTGTGAGTTGTGCAGTGTGGGGTTAAGCTGAGGGGCAGTGCTGCCCCCGGAGGTTGGGCTGAGATGTCATTTGTGATGTTTTTCCAGTGGCACGGTGGCTCAGAAGGCAGTGGTGACGGCGTTTCCTCGTCTTGTGCCCAGACGGATGATTTCCCCCGGCACCGTGTCCAGCTGCTCGTACGCCAGCCGCCCCTCCTCACCTGCCACAAACACAAGGGTTATATATAAACACTGCACCCCCAAGCAGGTTTCAGTGATGACATATAACCTGCTACTTCTCAGATTGCAATGGCATCCCAGCAGCTTTAGGTCATATTAACGTGAGTGAGAAATGGTATAAATCACTGAAAAAATTAACACCTGGATTAAAGATTCAAAAACATAGTACTGAGAAAATGCAATACTTTACTACTAGTGGACCTGCACTGAACATATGGCCAACACGATAAAGGACAATGTAGATGTACACATAAAATACTGTGTACATGCTGTCTGTCATGATCCCTTGAGTATGACATAATGACCATTTTCCTGATCAGTCCAATAGGGTTTTAAGAGGTCTTATCCAGTTTTCCAGCTCAGCAAAGGAAAACAAATATGTCTTGGTCATACACTGGACACACACTTCATTTATATACATGTTATTAATATGTTTATACATCATGGCGTGAGGTACATTGTGGCAGTTGTGCATAAAATGCAATCCAGAAATAATAGCGATTTGCAAAGTGTAGCGAAAGACCAAGCTGAGCAGCATCTGATTTCCACAAATTTGTTACTTACCAAATGTGAGCAGGGTTTCTATGGCAACATGGCGAAGCTCTTCATCAGCTGAATCACACAGTGCTACCACCGCCCTGATGCTCTCTACTGCCTACAGACACACAGAAAAGCTCTGTGAGGTGGGTACTTATCAAAGTACACAGAGGACACACAAATGTAACGTGCTAATTTCCTCTTATTAATGGTGCTGTTACATTACATAACTCCTTAGCCATCATAGCACACAAGATAAATTAGAAACAGATTATTTTTGTACCGTGCCAGTTTAAGTTTATTAAATTACTTATGCTTCAGCTACTACAGTAGTTCCCAGTACTTCCTGTTGTTGAATGGTAGCAAATGCAATTTCACCCAGTGACAGCAAATTGGTTATGTCATATTCATCATAATATACCTACAGTATAAGCCACATCAAGGTAGTTTATTCATCATTATACAACACAAGGTTGTGTAAAATAAATTTTATTGTCTCTTCATGCTACACACACAGAACCTAACAGATAATAAATGTACACTAAAAATATAAATATGGTAACATTTAAAATATATTATATACACACACACACACACACACACACACACACACCCAGGATATCCTACAGTGCATTTTTTGAATTTGCATCTTAGGGTGAATGTAAACTGCAGCAAAAACATGATAACATAGTTTTCATCTTCACGTAAAAAAGTCAGACATTTGGAGTAGTTCAGCACCAAGCATCATCATCAGGAAAGAATAATCATTCCTCCCATCCACAGTGTCCTTTTAAAGATCAGCTATAGTCAATGTGTAGCAGTCTCATTCATGTTTGTCCTGGAAAATGGGTGTACATTTATTTTGCAACCCTCCATCGTGGCCCCGCACACAAATGTACAGGGAATTTTGTGCCACAAAAAGACATTTATTAGGGCCCGAGCACGAACCGTGCGAGGTCTCTATTAAAACTGTATTTTTAAAAAAAACATACCCGAAAATTCACCAAACTTTGCACACATGTCAGAAGTGGTGAAAAATTTCGAATTTTATGGGTTTCGCGTATGGGTGTGGCAAAATGACTCGCTAGTGCAACCTAGAAATTTGGAATAACTTAGCCCCTCGCCCACGTTCAACCTACATGCACGAAATTTTCTGGGGACATGTATCATGTCCAGACGTACAAAAAAGCCTCAAGAACCCATATCCTACACTCAACAGGAAGTTGGCCATTTTGGATGATTTACACACTCCATACTTTAACAAACTCCTCCTAGGCGTTTAGTCCGATCGACTTCAAATTTCTGCTGTGCCTTCTAAAGGCATTGACAATGAAAAGTTGTGCTATCTGTGAGTTTTCTTCAATGGGCGTGTCTGTGGCGTCGATGATTCGCCATGAAACAGGAAGTTATTATAACTTCAGTGTACATGCTCACATCTGCACCAAACCTTACATGTAGGATGAGAGTCCTGCCCTGAACACATGTACATGCCGACATTCACTCACAGTCATAGTGAAGTGACCTTTAACAAAGCAGCCCCCAACGCACATTTGACCTACATATATGAAATTTCTGTGGCACATGTATCATGTCCAGATGTACCAAAAAGCCTCCTGGAGCGATGCCCTAAACCCAACAGGAAGTCGGCCATTCTTAATTTTACGGCAATTTTTGGATGATTTACACACTCTGTACTTTAACGAACTCCTCCTAGGGATATATTTGGATCGACATCAAATTTCTGCTGTGCCTTCTAAAGGCATTGAAGATGAAAAGTTGTGCTATCTGAGTTTTCGTCAGTGGGCGTGTCCGTGGCGTGGCGTCAAAGATCAACTCTTCGCCATGACACAGGAAGTTGTTGTAACTTCAGTGTATATGCTCACATCTGAACAAAACTTTACATGTAGGATGAGAGTCCCGCCCTGAACACATGTACATTTGACCTACATGTATGAAATTTCTGTGGCACATGTATCATGTCCAGACGTACCAAAAAGCCTCTTGGAGTGATGCTCTAAACCCAACAGGAAGTCGGCCATTTTGAATTTTACAGATATTTTTGGATGATTTACACACTCCGTACTTTAACGAACTCCTCCTAGGGATTTAATCCGATCGACTTCAAATTTCTGCTGTGCCTTCTAAAGGCATTGACGATGAAAAGTTGTGCTATCTGTGAGTTTTCATTGATGGGCGTGTCCGTGGAGTGGCGTCAAAGATTAAATCTTCGCCATGACACAGGAAGTTGTTGTAACTTCAGTGTACATGCTCACATCTGCGCAAAACTTTATGTACTTGATAACTTTCCCACCCCGAACATCTACTCGCCAATATTAATTTATATTCATAGCGCCAAGTGCTATGTAGCGCCACATAGGGGACACAGGAAGTGAGGTATAACACCTTCATGCAGCGTCTGAAGCTCGTAGCAAATTCACAGCCGCACCGGCAGAGCTCCAGAATATGCAACGCGCTACATGGGAGGAGTGATTACAACAAATTTTGACTAGAAAAAAACCCCGGACCTATCTTTGACAAAGTATCGCTTAGAAGGAAATTTAGCCTCATTGAACGCAGATTAAAGAATTAGAGATTAAACTAGTTCCAAATCTTCACAGTCTCACAACTGTAGATGATGGTCACTGACCTGCAGACAGCTGAGAGCTGAACATGCCACCCTCTGGCTCTGACCTCCAGCCTCTGACAACGCCTGGGTGTAGCACTCCACTGCCTGTAGATACACACACACACACACACGGCTTGTAGCATCTGTCAAAACTATTTAAAATGCTGTTTACACACACAAATACACACATCTCTTACACATACTCCGTCTTTAGCACTACTCACTCTGGCCCTGAAGTGGCTGTGCGATGCTCCAGAAGAGAGGTAGTCGGCTGTTGCCTTGTTGACCTGAGGGTCCTCTGCTGTGAGCAGGGAGGCGAGGGCCCTCAGGGTGCTGTTTCTAGGCCACAGGGTTGACACAGGCACCTCCTCCATCTCTGCTAGACAGCGAGAATAATCTCCAGTGTGGAGAGCCTCTGCAAACACCTCTGAGTATGACACAAACACAGACACATGTCAGAGATTTAAAATAGCCTGCAAAGAGTCAAACGGATGTGTTCTTTCTTTATTTACTGTAAACAGGTCATTACAGTCCTCATCTAGTAAAGTTTTGGCCGCTTTTAGACAGAAAATGATCTGCTCTTTAAAAAAAATATATAATCATGGTATTATTAGGTGAAAATCCGTACACCACGAAGCTTATATATTTTGTATAATTGTATCTGTAGTGACTGATTCACATATATCTTTCTGCTGAGATCTGGCTGAGTGATTTACATGATTCAGTGGCAGAAAATGTTGTGCTCACTGCAGGTTAAGGCCATTATCAAAGCTACTTGAGTATTAATATGCGTGTCCCCCAATTTGTGCTTACCCTCTCTGGCCAGATGCAGCAGGTGTGTCTCCATGTCCTGTACTTCATGTTGTAAGATGTAGCTGTGGAACTGAAACACAGTCAGAACGTCCTGGGAGAGTGCAGCGGCAGGAGGACTGTGTGCCGCCACCAGCTCGCTCCTGTCCACCATCTCACCCACTACGACACCAATCACTGGAGGGAAGAGAAGGAAATCTGAATTTAGAGAAAATTGTTTCTAGCCAACTGGAACTACATTTTCATTTATATATCTTATCTAATATATAAATCTAGATTCCCAGGCTGTTCTGTTTTTAATGTTTTTTAATCACATTATATTCTTAGCACTTACAATGATCTAATTTTCCCTCCGGGACAAATTTAAAAACGGATTTAACAACCAAATAAGTGACTCATTTGAAACCTAAGAGTAACTAAAAACACAGATACAAGACAAGTGTTGCATACAAAACAGATTCTAAGTGTGAAAATAGGGATGAACGGACCTGTGTCAGCGCCGTGTGGGTGTTTCTCCTGCAGCACCGCTGCGTAGCACTGGTTCATGTGTTTGAACACTCTGTCGAGTGTGGTGTGGAAAAGTCCTGCAGAGCCGCTGCACTCTGACCAGAGAGTCATCAGATGTGGGCGCTTTGCGAGGTCTGGGAGAACTGAGAGAAATGGGCAAAACAGAAGGTCAGAGGCTACAAACCATCAAACCAGAAAGTTCCTTTGGTTGCATTGTGAGAATTTGTCATACAGCACTTCAATAATAACAAATACACTGCTCTAAATTACTCTTACTCTTGAGATGCAACGCTGCATTGTAAACACTCACTAACAAACTAATAAAGCAAGCTGGTTTTCACTTGTTGGTACCTACCATCAGCAGCAGATGTAATCGCTCCCATTCTATCCGCACTGATCTCTGCTAGCTCCTCTAACAGCTGAGTCTGTCCGGACAGTTTGAGGAGAAGACTGCGACGCTGCCACACACCCACCACACTGGTTAACAACTGCCATCACAGGAAGAAACCAAGGCATGTTAGGGCAATGTTTCTAACAAACTGAATTAATGTCAACTACTAGTTACTGTGTAACTACTTCAAAACATCCACCTGTATGAGGTGATTACAGTACTGCAGGTGGATGACGATAGCCACGTCCAGGTTTTCGTTTCCAGTGGTAAGCGGCAGAGGGCTTCCCGCCACGCTGTTGCCCACCCCGGTGTCCTCCGTCAGGGCTTCACTCAGGTGTCCTCTGGCTTCTGGATGCTGGCCCCTAAAACAGGCAAATGCCCAGAGTCACCACCGAGTGGCAGCAGCATCACACAGAACAGTAATCTAGAATGTGCTTAGAATTAAATGGTAATTCAGACCCTTCATGTTATGATTGCACATTATTAAAGACCACCACTTTCATGAATGAGTAGCTGAGCATTAATTGACTTAAAACCCAAGCACCAAGAACCTGCGCTAAGTGTTTGGTATGCGATACCTCAACAACGGTATCTTATTTTAATTTTCAGTTCAGACATTTCTGAACAGCAGTCAAACGCCTTGATACAGAGACAAAATGTACTTAGTGTCAGTGTCAGCCAACATAAAGTGCCTCTGTCTGTCTCACACCCACCCGATCCTTTCTCCGTCCGTATCAAAAAGCGGAGACCTCTGTGGGATACTGAGGATGCCGTTATCGTCCCCAGTGTCCTCGTCATCAAAGTCAGAGGTGTTGAGGAAGTCGAAACTCTCCAGGGCACTCTCCACTGTCAGACTGAGGCTGGATGAGCGGCTCCTGTGACCCGGGAGACGACACTGTGAAGAAGGAGGACATGTTGGGTAAATAACCATTTTACTCTTCTGTCCTGGAGAAGTCAGCCTGCCTCAGTCCATTCCGAGTAGCTACAATTATTTCAGATTCTGTTGCTTGATGTTTTGACAGGTGGTACAGGCCAAACCAACTAATATTTTTCGGGGATTCTCCACCTTAGGTAATACTGTGGTTTTATGATAAGCGTTCATTTAGGTAAACCCAGAGATTAAAAACACAGAAGGACAAGTGTTGGGGATAAGTCCAATAAATTACTTTCTTGAGGTAATGAGTGACTTACTTTCAATTTATGGAGTCAATTATTAGTAATTTTAAAATTATAATTTTCTTTATTATTTTTATCTATAGAGATTTGATATTTTCTAAATATAGCCTACTGTATATTTGAGACCTAACAGTACACCAGAGAAAAGCCTCTTTAAAATAAAAGCCCTGTGCACAGTGGAAAGTTTGTTGATGTGTGTTACAAGATGATGATCCAAACTAATTTTAGACTTTAACGTGTGCTGATATTTAGTCCTGACTCTTTTTTTGTTTGTTTGGTGAGTACTCTTTACTCTGAGTAAGTAGTTTGTGGTTAGACGATTTTAAGGATTATGTAATGTAATTAGTTAATAATTTAGACAAAAAAAACCAAGTAAAAATACATAAATAAATATAAATAAAACATTTGGTTGTAAGTAACAACTTTTTAACTATTTTTCTTCTTCTGTTCATTCCCATATAAGATCTTATACCATAAAGAAGGGTTTAGTCACCTTGAGCAAGTCCTCCAGACGCATCACTTCCTGCTCCAGGTCCTGCAGCTCTCGGCAGCGGTGAGTCAGGGACTCCAGCCTCATCAGCAGGCTGTGGATGGCCTCTTCCAGGCTGCTCTCTAGGAATGCCCTGCTCCCCTCTCCCGCCCAACTCAGGTTTCCTCCTCCCTCCAAGGAGGCCCCACTCTGCGGCACAATTTCTGAAGAAGTCAGCCTCTTCACAAGCTGCCGGGTCAGGCTCCCCGCCTCCTCTGTGTCCAGTTCCACAGGTTTTAGTTCATCATTTTGGTCTAAGAAAACATCCTCTGGAGCCACCGTAGACAGGTGGCTGTCAGAACAGAGGAACCGGGCAACCGAACCACAGTTTGAGCCAGAATTTCTCTGGGACTCTGTGCGCTCCCACTCAGAGTCCTCTGCAACCTCGGCTTCATCGCTGGCGAGGCTGGCACTGGTGCCCCTACTTCCTCTACTACCAGTCTCGCCATCCTCTTCGTATGCCTCCTCCTCCTCTTCCTCCACTAAATGCTCCTCTGCGATGGAGTCCTCCCTTGTTGGGAGGATTTGTGTAGGTGATGGGTCTGTCTCTGGAGGAGTGACTGTGATCTCAGGGTTGGACAGGCCAGGGGAGTGGGAGCTCGGGGCAGGGCTGGGTGTGGAGCCAGAGGTGTCGGAGAAGGTGAAGGAGAGACGCTTGCACTCAGCGACGCCGCAGCCACCGTTCTCAAAGACGTCATCTGGTAAAGTGGACTGAAAAGAGAGACAGGGGAGTCAATATGTGTAACAAAAAGATGGAAGATTAAAACTGAGCTATATATTGAAATCAGTGAATGTTGATGAAAAAGGTATAAGACAAATCCAATCCAATCTAACTCCACTTTTCATTCTAAAATCTACTCGACTAGATCTGGTCAACCAAGACAGTAATTCTGAGTAGAAAAGCATAAGAATAACACAAATAGCTTAAAGCATGTCATGCAAATAGACATGCAAACAGACACACATGGCATTCTGCGGCCCACAGAAAGGGCTGGACAAGCCCAAGTGTGTCCACACCCGCAGAGAAGTCCATCCCCATTGTGTCATTGAGGCACACAAAAGTCAGATTAGGAGGGGCAAGGGGCCACAACACACTCACATAGACCTCCAGACTGGATTTGGGCCTTGGCCGGAGTGAGGCCAGGTCACCAAACGAGCGACTGCGCCTTAGCTTCTCTAGCAGGGAGTCCCGGAGCATGTGCAGGAAGGAGAGGCGCTGGCGCTCCACGGGATATGGCCGCCACTTCTTTACACAATGCACGCAGGCAAATAGGACAAGGTGTTGGGTATTTGAGTGAGATAAAGGAGGGATGGATAAACGTGTGAAGTAGGACAGAGTGTGGGTGAGGGGTTTTGATGTGGAAATGCAAAGGAGAGAAGGATAGCAGGGAAATGGGTGAGGGTTAGTTTAGGGGCAGCACTAGCATAGACATAAGCATGATGCATCAACAGAAAAAATGTGTGCCTTGATAAAATATCCATATAGTAAGGTGCAGACTCAGGTTAGTGTGCAGGGACAATGGAAGTGTAAAAGACAAAATCATATCTCTTTCTCTTCATTTCACCCAATTATAAGCCTAGATGGTGAGAAACAGCAGCGGCTGCGGATCTCAGGTTCTGCAGTCCTAACCCTAACTACAAAACCCCACAAAAAACGACAGCCTCCCACTACGCCGATGAAGCTAAAGAGGTTTGCGTGTTGGACTCACAAAGAAGGAGGTGTCCTGGAAGGTCGGGGTCTCGGGCGTGCCCTGGCTGTAGACCGACACTCGTCTCTGGAGCGCTGTGGCTTTGCTCACGTTGCCAGATGACAGAGTCAGGTCCTCGACATCGAAAGGGCTGGATGAGGAAATGAAAACAAGGCACTTATTGTGATTGCTCTAGGTGATGTGTTTATGTCCATCTTAGTTAACTTCCATAACTTGTAATGACCATGTTTCTCCACCAGATGGCAGAAAACCATAAGTAATCTAGACTGAATTCAAAGCTACAACACTAATAACAGTTAGCGTAGGTGATCATCATCACATTTCAAATATCAGTAGGAATGATCACTCTTGGGTAGAACACTTGAGAGATAAAAATCCTCCTGTTGAAAGCCTCTGTAGATGAATCTGACTGCAGCACTGCAAACCCAACATTTATCCCTTTCATAAACTGAAAACATAATATACAAATGAAATTCAATTGAAACTTTAGTGGAATTTAAAAATCACACTGACGTGTACATGTCATACAACAAAGTTTCCTCAAATTTGGTTATTAAAAGGAGACAAAGACAGTGAGGCAGAGCATTTTACAGTTATCTTTATAAGCTGCTTTTTGAAAGCTGCTTTTCAATGATATATCATAATGGTTATAATCCTTAATGGTTAATGTGTACACCAAGTAAACTGCAACATCCACAGTTTGATTTCCGACCTTTGTATCATGTCATATCCCTCTCTCTCCCCATGTGTCCTGTCTCTCTCTCTCTCCCCATGTGTCCTGTCTCTCTCACTTCAAAAAAAGCAAACAGCCAAAACTTTCAACTTAACTTTAAACTTGGCTCAAGTGATCCCATTCTGCTGACAATACCGTTTTTCCTCCTCGAGGATTAAAAAATTACTAATTTAATAACATCATAACAAAACAAACACAATGAATAGCATAAAAAGTGACTGCTCACTGTATGTATAAGAGTCTACTTACTACCACGTGACCTCCAGGTTGAGTTTGATGGTTCCTAGGTCGTTAACATCCACAGCCACCACCTGAGGCATGGCAGTAAACAGCTCCTTGGTCTCACAGATCACACTGCCCACCAGCATGTGAGTAGCCAGGCCCTTGAGCTCTGTCACCTGATTGGAGCAAACATTTATTTACAACTAAAAGGTAAAGACAACAGTAACAGGTTCTTCAAGACCTACGTAAATCAGGTGATAGTGGATGAGTTGTTTTCTTCCACCAGCTGTAATTAAATATAGTCACAACCTATCGGAATGATCACCAGTTTATCCTGGATATTGTGCATGAAAAACAAGCTTGCACATAAGCTGCACATCTGATTTTCAAGTTGTTCTGTTCTTGCACTGTGCTAATTTACTGAAGTACAATATTTTAGGCACAAAGTTTGTTTATCTATCTACCTTGATGTTGATGAGGTCAGTGATGAGAGGCATGAAGACCATCTCATCTCCATCCCAACTCTGTCTGGAGTTCACTTCAATCTTTCCTTTCAACTTCCACCGCTGGCGACCATACCGCATGAAGATCTAATAGAAGGAATGGCAAGGGCAGTGTAAAAAATAAATACAGAAAGAAGTAAGCCTGAAGCCAGAGAAGGGACAAAACTTTGATGCTCATGCTCAATAGCAACATTTTGGAGGACAAGATGGATACATCTTATTCTACCATTTCATTCTGCTGGAAACTTGAACTTAAAGTATAAATTGTCTTTTCTTAACTTTGAGCTAAATATATTTTCAAAATTCCACACATGGATTTCAATATGAAACCAGTAAGTTGTTTTTTTACAGCCCTGTGTTATGCAAAAAAGCAAAAACAAAACTTGCCTCATACTGGTCTCCAGGACAGAGCCTAGCAAAGCCTGCCAAACCTTTCAGAGAGGGGAAAAAACAGCCATTTAGACAAGGTAAGGTGGGAAAAAGCCAAGCCAATAATGAATACAGTGCGTCCATACGTAGGTTATATAGTGAAAACAGTATGGCGATAAGCTGTCATGTCATCATTCCTATAAATATTAGTAAATTCATGCCTCTTATTTCAGAAGTGAATATTGATATGTGAATGGGTTTATTTGTCATTTGGAAGACTTTTTCCTAATCTCACCTTTCATTTTGATATGAAACTCCCCGAGCAGGTTCTCCAGTTCGCTCTCGAACGTGCTCATGTTCTGGAGAAAAAAGAAAAATAAGGCAAATTACATAAACAGCCCTTCGTCACACAAGACGAGAACAACAACAGCAATCAAGTTATCTCGAGGGACTTTGACAAAGCCAGTCAACGCTAAACTGCAGAGGAAGCGGGATGGCCTCCAGGACAGCCGATGACAGGTGTGTGTGTGTTATTTGGATTTAAAGGTCATTCTGTAAGTATGTAAATATACATTTCAATGTTTATAAATTACAGTGTAAGCAGTTATCTGTACCTGTGTGACCCAATGTTTAATGCACATTGTTATATTTTTAGATGTCATATTAAATGATGAAACTATGTGTATGTAACACCATGCCTCATTTATTCATCTCTCCTCAAAAATCTACTTAAATAAATGAGATCACTGCTCATTGACTCCATTATTCAACTAGCTTTACTTTATATGTCTTTAACAAGGTAAATAAGCATTTTTATACTGAACTCCTTACACAAATTTGCCAATTCTATCAAGTATTCCCCATACACTGAAGACAATTCCTTATGCCAGTACCTCAGTGTATTCCTTGTAGCGGCGGTTGACTTCTGCGATGCTCTCCTTGGTGCCTTTAGTGGAGGGAGAGGAGGAGAAGGCCTGCTTCATCCGGCTGGCACCTTCCCTCAGACGGCTCTGGATGCAGAAGGCCTCGTACAGCTCGTCCACCTGAAAGCACACACAAACACATCCCTCCATCTTTAATAAATGATCCACAAGGAGAAGCATGCACTCACATGCATGCAAACTTTCACATTGTGTACACACAAGAGAGAAACTTGTGCACTAATGAAATGAAGCGAGTCTTTGAAGTTTGAAACCCTCCATACGTTACATCAAAACATCCCTGGGCAGGAAGCAAACTCCTCAAAAACTTACTAACTGCCATCTAAATTATTCTGGATGTGTTCACATCTCACTGGGACTCATTCAAGAATGCCCAACACAGCTTTAGGCTTGTGCAATAGTCAAGTAAGTCAGTTATCAACGGGTCTTCAACAAGAGCAAAAATAGGCATTATGGAGAATGAAACACTGTTAAAATCTATTACAAAAATGGTAAATTATTAAAATGTGACTGAGAAGAATTTTGCACAATGGCCAGATTCCAGAAAAGAGTAAGAAGCTGCACAGACAATGAAAGGGTTTACAGGACTTAAAAGAAACATCAGCAAAAATTATAGATAGATAGATAGAAAAACTGATGAGAGAACTGAAATGACAAACTGAGCAGATACAGCTGGCATGTATCAGTGTAACCATAGCCTCCAGTGGCAGACGCCTATGCCGTCCCAGTAAACGACCCCAGTGGGACACTCCCAAAGCGGGGGAACAACAGACGGCGTTTAGTGCTCATTTGGGGATGTCTGCCTGACTTCAGTTTGCAGCAGCAGCCTGACGTAACTCAAACCCACAGGGAGAGGGAACGACTCCATCGACATCATGCTGCCTTGCTGTGAAGCTGAAATGTTGGACTTTCAACTGGAATGAAATCATCAAGATAAAATGATGTTGTAATCAGAGCAGCAACCGTTCTATTGAGCCCAGTGGTGAGGAATTAAATTTTCTGAAAAGCCAAAGGTGAGCCGCTAAACACAGGCGCAAAGTACAGGCAATTTATTATTAGCAAATTTGATGTCATACTATCTCCCAAATTAAAGTTAAGTGTCAATCAATTCTCCTTAAATGAGGGAAACTAGAATGCACTTTCACCTGTCTGTTACCTGCCTGTCTAATTTTCAGGCTTCATGAATTCACATATGATTGGAGTGGCAGCCGGGCAAAACAAAACACCTCTGGTAGCCTCATCAAAAGGAAATTTGCAGCCTGCCTGACGAGCGCGCTGAAATATTGATGCCCCGTGAGCTTTATGGCACTCGTTAGGGAGAAGCAGGAGAAAATGGGCCATTCTGGCTCCTGCTGTCCTAATAGCTTCTCTGAGTTTTTGTTTGTGTATCTTTATGTCTGAAGCTTACATTGTCAGCATGTTAGTGGATGTAGACTCAGTGACTGTGTATGTAGACATGTGCATGGAAAGCGTGTTGTTGCTGTGTTGGATAGCCGTATGAGGGTTTATAGTAAAAAACAAAAAACAAAACTGAAAGTGGTTTACAGTGGGATGCTTCTGTCATAGAGGAGGGAAAACAGCCTGATGATGTTGCAATAACTTATCTAGGCACAAATACATACAAAAAGCACCCACCCCAAACCCACCAACTCCCCTCAAACCATCTAGCCCCCCTTCAGAACCACCCACCACCAACTGGGACCCAGCCCCGTCTGTCTGTGGTATGTGGTGGGGCTGCAGCAGCTGAGATGTAGCTAGCTATAAAACGTCCTGCAACCACTACTGTTATCCGGAGCTCTCCGACTGGCATGGAGCTGCTTCAGAGGCACCAATCGCCAGCTTTAAAACATGTTTGTTTATGACAAAACAAAGGGAAAAAAAGAGCAGTGGAAGCTGAGCTGAAGTCAAAAGAAACACGTTCATCCAACTGAACCTTTGCATTGATTAAGTCACTCACATAAACGAGTACACAACTACAATAAGTTATTCATTTGGAGTAAATGATATGCCTCTGTCACAAAATTGGGCCTTCACAAACTGGGTCTGATGAATAGCCATCATTCTTCTCAGGCAATCAGTAGTAATCATATCATTATCAGCTAATTAAGCTATTTTTTGTCCCCAATTACAATGGCCTCTTGCTGCCTTCAAGGATGCCTTCAATGTCCTTTTGAAGGTCAGCCAAGCTCCAATCCAGAGGGTAGCCATCAGCATATTGCTGCGCCTCAGGGCACATTTCACCCCAGAAAAAAGAAACGTAAAATGAAATGAAGCAGGCAGATGGAAAAAATGAGTAATTAAAAACATACATGTGCAAACAGTATTGAGCAGAGGAGTGCCTGAGCAACAGAAAAATTAACAACACATACAGTATTGTTGGCTAATGGTCTGGATAATTAATGTGCTCCTTTGGATACACAAAGCACACACGCATATAGTTTATGTCTGCCAAACACAATATGTATTTATTACGTTTCATCTTTGTGAGTTTTTGTATTAGTGAAGAAACTGAATGTCAATATTTTCAGGTTGTCTGAGTTTTCCATGAAAATACACTGAATATTTTGGGGTTCTGGACTTAAATCAGCAGTGTTAAGATATAACCTTGTACCCTATAGTAAGAAATTTATCAGTACATCACTTAATATTGAAAATAATTGTTAGTAGAAGTACAAAACAAAAAAAACACCATCACTGAGACAATGCATGGATCTACGTAAACTTAAAATCCACAACCATCCTAACATAAACAATGTATTTTTGTGCTAATTTAAAGCGCTATTTCAGTGCAAATATTAAACCCGTTTTAACATTCATCCACTAAAAGACCATCTGAACTGATCTTAATTAACTTTTACCAGATGTTAAGAGATATTAAATGTAAATGTATTCGCAATTTGATGCCTCTATTGGACACATAGTCCCGGTATTAATTATAGCTCAGCGGGATGACAAAACCTGGATGGCTTAGAGACCCAGTGAGGGATTAGGGAAAACCTTTATTGGGGAATCAATTATGCCCAGGGTGAGGATAATAATGTGTTCACATTTATTAAGGGTAAAATATTTATTTATTTTTGAAATAATATTTTTGTATTTTTAAATCTCTCTCAATCTAATCTTTGTAAAAATAATACTTTTCTGATGTTTGACAAAGCAGTCAGAATTAAAAGTATCACTAAGATTGTCTCTGTATCTCATATATATATATATATATATATATATATATATATATATATATATATATATATATCGAGATTTTAAATACGAGCAGAGAATCTTACGGCAGGGATCCTCTTAAAATATGGCCTTTATCCTGGATTGTAGGTTAATGGTGCACACACACACACACACACACACACACACACACTTTCTGCCAGGGGGCAAGTGATTATAAGGAGATTAAAACAGGCGGGCCACTTCAAACAGCATCAAACACACAAGCCCCTCTCTGGGGAACTGTGGGTGGGTGGGTGTGTTGGTGGCAAGATTAGCATTCAAGGGAAGAGGGGAAAGCAAAAAGGCCCTATATTAAAAATAACCACATTTGAAGTACTCACACTCACACTTTCTCTCTCTCTCTCTGTCTCTCTGGGGGAAGAAGTGGTGCCTGGCAGCCACACTTCTCACCTTCAATCTCTGTCACTCATCTCTTTAATGATGCACTGCTGATATTAGGGGCCTACACACACACACACACACACACACACACCATAGACCCTATCCCATGCAGAACATCATAGGGGTTTGTATTGTGCCACCTGCTTCCTCCATGTGTGCCAATTACTGCTTGGACATTTGCAGGCAGCCAGCAGCACGAACAGGAACAAAAGACCGGGCTGATGTGAGTCACACACACACAGACACACACACACTAACAACTTGCTGATGGATGATTGTTAAGTCATCCCTCACGGCAGCTGTTGTTCACAAAGAGACACGCCTGTGCCTGAGCACAGAAGTTGACAAACATGCACACACTCACCCTAGCTCACAGCTGAAAATTGTTTTAATTTGCCCTTTTACTTATGTGTAAGACACTGAAGCATGCTTAGTCATTGTTTCCCATTTCCTGCATATTGCTCGACTGAGGCAGCGATTTTCATCTCTTAAGTCCTCATCACTCTGTATGAAGGTACACATGGAAAACTATGAAGGTGACAGTGGTGCCTCCTCCTCTTTACTGCTCTCCTACAAAAACATGTACTTCCTGTTTTGCCCTTTCTTGCATGTCTGGGCCACAATTAGTGCTACACACATCCCTCAAAACATTATCACGTGACTAATAGGCAGATTTTCATATCAATAATTGGGAGTTTAAACGGAATGACAAACAAAACCAAAGGCGACACATCGGATATAACTGCTGTATGCTGTACTTGTCAGTGCTCTCTGGTGGATAGACTCAGTAATGGAGACACTTAAAATTAAAAATAAATTACCTCAAACTTATACCCCAATATAAGACATCTGCAATAAGCCAACAGGGGCTGATACATCCACCCACAAACACAACTGGCTTTTCTAACTGATTGACACATGATCAGCCGTAACATTATGATCACCTATCTAATATTGTGTAGGTCCCCCTTTTAACAGCCCTGACCCATTAAGTCATGGAGTCCACAAGACTTCTGAAGGTGTGCTATGGTATCTGGCACCAAACACATTAGCAGCAGATCCTATCCAGTCCTGTAAGTTGTGAGGTGGGGCCTCCATGGATCGGACTTGTTTGTCCAGCACATCCCACAGATGCTTGATTGGATTGAGATCTGGGGAATTTGAAGGCCAAATAAACACCTTAAACTCATTGTTGTGTTCCTCAAACCATTCCTGAACCATTTTTGCTTTGAGGCAGGGTGCAGGACCCACGGTTCTCCGAGCAGAACATTACCCAAAGCATCACTCTGCTTCCGCTGGCTTGCCTTCTATCCATAGTGCATCCTGGTGCCACATGTTTCCAGGTAAGCGACCACCTTCTTCCATTGCTCCATTGCTCCATGGTCCAGCTCTAATGCTCAAATAGCCATTGTAGACACTTTCAGCAGTGGACAAGGGTTCAGCATGGACCCCCTGACTGGTTTGCGGCTACGCAACCCAGTGTGTTCTGGCACCTTTATATCAGTCACACGTCAATGGTCATAATGTTGTGGCTCATCAATGTATACAGCACACTTATCTGCTTGAAAGTAACTTATAGACCTCATAACTGTAGAAATTGATAACTAAATAAAAACATACAGTATTAGAGCTCTGTCAACCTACTTTAAGTACGACAGCATCAGTTGACAACTGGAGCCACTTTTACATAAGGATGAGGAAGCTCTGTGTGTGTGTGTGTGTGTGTGTGTGTGTGTGTGTGTGTGTGTGTGTGTGTGTGTGTGTGTGTGTGTCATTAAATTTCCTGACCTCAATGCTTTTGTGGTTGGCTGATTCTCTTAGCTCTCAACAATTGATCTCACTCAGTAGCTATCTGCTGATGCTGAGGTTTAGAAAATGGGCCTGTCCTGTGAGTGCGAGTGTGTGTGTGCGTGTGTTGACTTTTCATGGCATTAGTTTTATTCATAAGTCCATAAATCCAACATTACAATTCACTTCATATCAATATTGATGAATGAAGAAAACTTTATTGAAACATTTCCACAAATCTTATAAAACTGATGTTGCACAAGGACAGGTTGACAATAAAAACATTAATCCAACATTTTCAGACTATCATGCTTCTGTTAGAAAGAGCCAAGACATGAAGTGCTACACTATCGTCAGATTAAAGTTATTCCGCGTTTGCAGAGTAATGTCAGGGGGGAAAACTAGAAACTGAGTTTCAAATAATGTCAAATATTCAGTCAACGATTAATAGAAAGCCTTAAGAATGTATTTAAACTATTTTATCTACAGTCAATGAAAAGACAAAGTTTAGCAAAGGAGCACTGGTGTATATATTTAGAATGAAAGAGCACAAGGAGTGCTAGATTTAATTTGCTTTTTAGTTACTCCTTCGCCATTTCAAATCTATTTTTGTACAGAGCCTGAAAGAACAGAAGAGGTTCAGAATAATGTTGGATGCTAAGTAGAAAGGCTCTTAGTTTGTGTTTGTTTAAACTGCATCCTGTGACAACCTCACAAGACTGAACAAGCGTTGAATCTGTTTTTCCTTTGTAACCAGAGTCAAAGTGGTGTATGAAGGCAAATGTATTTACTGACTTAATAAAATAACCTCAGCTTTTTTTCTAATCACTCATCATTTATGTTCCCTCCATCTCCCCTTTTCATTTGCCAATCACTCCTCACTGTACTAACTGCCCTGACCCAGATTCACTGTTGCCTTGAACCCTTCAGAAACGTATCTGCCCAATGACTCAATTACTCTCTTTGTCTTCTGCCGTATTGTTCCGTACATGTGTTTGTTTATGGACATCTGAAGGTGATTTTTTATTGTCCAACAGCATGCATGTGAACATAAAGGGTTAAGGTCAGCCAATAGCTGGCTCCTCTGTCCTCCTCAGGACTTCAAAGGCTCCGTTTTCGGGTAACCATGGTTACCTTTGGCGCTGTGCTGTTGTTTGGGTGTGTGTACTCTGACTGCTTGCTGTCACGTCTGATTTGATGCACAGTGACTGAAAAGGGGATATGGAAGAAGAGTCACAGAGCTGCGAGACCTGACCTGGGGATTAATGTCCCCAACTGGCAACCAGGGAGGAGACTACAAAGGAGGATATAGGGGAAAAATGTTTCCCTACCTGGTAACCTTTTGCCTCAACCATTAAAACAGCTGGAAATATCCCTAAAACATATCAACATATGAAACCAGAGAAGAGCAGGAATACCACCCTAATCTGGCAGCAAAACCCTTTCTAAGCCAATTTGGCAAAATCAGCAGACCGTGGCATAAAACTGCACTTTACTCCTTAATAAAAAAAGTCAAGATGAAACCAGCAGGCAGTGAGAAAATTCTAGAAAACTTGTAGGTGGGCAAAATTAAAGCATGTTTATGAGAATTATAACTTGAAGAAATGATCCAATATGTTGGGAAATGTGCTTCTTTTCGTTTCTTGCCAACAGATGGTTAGCTAGCTAGCTAGCCTGGCTCCGTCTAAAAAGGTAACAGAATACACCTAACAGCATATTTAAAGATCACGCATTAACACCGTATATCTTGTTAGTTAAATTTGTGAAGAAAAAAAAACATCTTTAGGAGGTGCTGGTATGCAAACTTTTTTTGTTTACCTTTGCAGAGCCAGAGCTAGCCACAGTTACCCCGGTTTCCGGTGTTTATGCTAAGCTAATCACCTGGTGTACACCTGGTGTACACCTGGTGAACGTGGCTCTGTTACTCACTGCTCAGCCAAAAAGTAGCCATTTTTCAGTTTTTGTAGAGGCTAAATAAACAAAATGTAACATTTTAATTTAGTAAGCTTAATAGTGACTGGTATGTGGATCTTGTTGCTTACAGACAGAGCCACACTAGTTGCATCATCCAGTCTTGCCAAGTCATGCTTAGCCAACCAGCTGCTGGCTATAACTTCATAGAAATCGGACAGATATGAGAGCATTAACAATCTCATCATAACACTTTCAGGAGGAAAGCAAATAAGCATGTTTACCAATATGTCGAAATATTGCTGTAAAAGAGGTGGCGTGCAAAAAAGCACTGGCTGATATTAATCCATCACATCAGTTCTTACCTTGCTCATGTGAAACTCCAGACGTCTCATATATCTCTCAATGGTTTTAATTTGCTGAAAAAAGACAGACATAGCAGAATAATTTACTAGTGCCTATGAGAACATAGCTAAATATGGTTTAAAGCTGCAAACATAATGATTTGAATGTCCATACTACATGAGATAATGAGGCACAGTTTGCAAGCCTGAGCTTACATGTCAACAAATGTATGTAACACGTTGGCGAAAATGTTTAGCTAAATGATGTGTTTTTATATACAAATATCTCACAGCTGATCCCTTTGAAGCTGTCTCTCCCATCCCATCACACATTTTCTCTCTCATCCTTTTTCCTGCATTATTCCTCAATCCCTTCAGCACCTCACTCCTCCACTCTGTCCTCCCTCCCTCTTTTCTTCTGCCTGTAGCCGTTTTTTCTCCCTCCTTCAACTCTTTTTTTTTTACTTCAAAACCACAACACAAATGTGGCACGATTGTTACAGTAGACCCTCCCCTCCATCAACTCACCTTGTCAAGATCGTACAGCACTCCCTAGAGAGAAAAACGCACACACACAGACACAAAAAAGTTAGTACAGAAGGACAGCACAGCTGAGGCTGCTTAAGTAATCTGAAGCAGACTACAGTTGTCTGGCATCAAAAAAAGATCCTCTTAAACACCCTTTCTAGTGGAAGCCTTGACTCTGCATGTGTACAGTGTGTGTGTGTGCACTGTAAGAAATCTAAATATGTGTTAGCCGTGTGTGGATTCTTGACGCCAAAGTTGATTTTTATTATTATAAAAATAAAAAAGGAAACCGAGCTGAGATCTGAAAAGTGATCCCAGCTGCCAAAACGTTTGTTATTGCTCCTCACTCAGACATTTGAGAGATACAAGGGCAGTAGGTATTGAAACATACATGATAAAACCAACATTGATTTTCAATCCAGTTTCCAGATTCTAGGAACAGTTATTAACATTACATTTCTATGAAAAATGGCCTTTAAATAAATAGTTTAAGTATAATTCCTAAAATGTCAGACTATTCCTTGAAGATGTCGATGAGGCAGGACTAAACTGCTGCCCATATGTAAATTGATGTACAGTAGCTTCTCACCAGGCGAGAGTTCCTCTTCATGTCCTTCATCAGAGATGTGAGTTTGTCCAGCTCTGTCTGATGAACTTCAAGATACTCACTACCGGACAAACAAGGAAAATACGTTCTATACAACTCCAAAAAGATACAACTTGAATAAAACATCACTGCGGCAACAGTCATAGCATTCTGCATTGCATGCACACCACAATGGGCTAAAATAAAATGTACACATTAAAAAGAAAACATTACTAACATTAATGGACTGAACCTATCTATAGCCATCTATATGAAATGGTTAGTCTGGAACATTTGGTATAAGAGCACATCACTGTACGGGTTACTCACTCCAGGCCTTGTTTGAGTGCAGTGTAAACCTCTTCCAGTCTTTTGGGCTGCGGCTCTCTGGAGCTGCTGCCTCCCTTGTGTCCTGAAAGGTGAGGCTTCTTTGGCTTGGACTGAGGCTTCTTCTGCACCGCCGAGTTCCCCATGAAAGAGTTACACCTACACACACACACAAACACATTAGTTAGTGCAACAGAGGACACCTGCAACATAAACTTTCTTATAGTCTTCTGGGCAATTACGTTAAAAATTAGAACATTTTCATACTGCGATTCAAAATTTTGTCAAATATTTTTATTGCAAAAGGAAATCTAAACATTTACTGAGTTCAAGGGTTTTCAAACTGAGTTGGATGGTGGGCCCAAGGGGGAAAGGAGAGGCATGAACTGCAATTTTCTTCAAAATCTTTACTACTTCTTGGAGTCACAAATCATTAAACTGAACACACAAACATGATACACATCTTTTTAGATTCAGTGTGACTTGTACTTTCCGATCTCTGATGTCCATTTGAATAAACATCCATAAATCCTCTTAGAAATCATGGGAAAAATCTGCTTATAACTGCAAAACTTGTCTGAGAATCATCAAGTTCTTCAGAATCAAAATAATCCAGTGATAGTTATCTGTAAAGCCATGTATACTGTGCAAAAAGGAACTGCTTATAGCTAATTCAGCATACTTTTAATGGTGCCAATTTGCCAAAATGTAAATAAACAAAGACACGTTGGAGCCCATGGCTAACTAAGTAACTCTATGGCAACATCATACTTCCTGTTTACATCCTCCAAAGTGGGGGAAGGGTGGAGCTCATATAGGACTGACACATATAGCATACATGTTATTCAAACAACAGCAAAAACCTGTCAAACATACATAAATAAACCCACAGCAAAACCTAAGTGGTGAACCTCTTCATCGATCACAGGGGATGTGCTAAATAACAACTGCGCACACATGCAAACATGTGCTTCCCCCCCCCCCCTTTCTGTGTTTGACCTGTGTAAGGCTGCCATTTATCTCCTGCTAGAGGGAACTTACAAACACACACTGAGGCACAATCACACTCACTTCAATCAGTGACATTCAAGTGTTCTTCACTCTCTTCCCCACATCATATAAAACAGAGAAAAGTAGTCCACCATCACATTTCAGAAGCTAAAATCAGCAAATGTTTGGAATTTTTGCTTGATAAATCACAAACATTATTCTGAAAATGTTGATTGAGATCCATTAATGGTTTCAGCACCATTTTATCAGTCTGTCTTTCCTCACATCAACCCATTTTAGCTCACGCTCATCTTACCCACTCAGGCACATTTCAGCTTTTAAAACATTACAGATTTAGCTGACATATGACATTTCACTAGATTTAATGAAACGACTCCCAGAGTCATCTCAGGGACGACATTAGGCGACAACTAATTCCAGCGCTCGACAAGTTGGAACGTGCCACATCTTTCTGCGTGCCCTTGAAAGCAGCACAAGTTAAGCTAATCTGCCACAAATGTAGGGCACCGCTGAAAAAGAGCGCTGCGTAGCCTTGGGGTCACGCAAGCTGCAGTGTAGAACAGTCTCTCTCTTGGCAGAGAGACACACACAGAAATGCAGAAGCACACATATTCAGAGATGCTAACACAATTTAATTCTGACTTATAAATGTGAATTTGCACGCTGGCACACAATCTGCAAAGTCTGCAGAACACATGCTTGCGTAAATGCACACAAAACATGCACATGGGTAGACAAAGGAAGGGAAGGTCCTCGCTCAATATCACCAACACATCGCCACACACACACAGCCACACACACACGCTAACACACTCCAGTGGCCTCAGAAGCCACATCTCTGTAGCTTTCCACCTCGCTCATTATCAGAATGGTAACTTGTCAGTCGCTGTCAGTCGCCCACACACCCGACTCATTCCAACCAATTACCCCATTCACTGTCTGAGCGGATAGAAAAGAGGGGGATCAGTCTTCAAATAGGTTCTCTCAGCAGGACCAGGGCTGCAGAAGAGAACCAGATGCCGACAGCCGAGAGTCTAAGATCATGAGAGATATTTCTGGGATGCAAGTGTTAAGAGTGCTTTGTCTTGGTGATGGGGGTGAGAGCAGTCACAGATGACTCAAAGAGGAAAGAACACAGATAAAACTCTTATCTCTCAAGAACTTTATCAATCTCCAAATTCTTATAGCTAGCGCCTGGCTATGAATGAAACACTTATCAGAAGGCTGAGTTTAGCTGGGTGGTTGTGCAATAGAGTGTAGATCACCCCTTAAGAATTCAGTTTTACGGGATCTTGAGACTTGCTGTGGCTCGCAGAACGATGGTTAAAAGTCTACACTTGTGTGAACAGATAAACGTTTACAAGAGAGAGAAGTATAATGTTGCCATGGATACAGTGAGTCCCATTTTACATTTGTTTACATTTTGGAAAAATAGTACCAAAGCATGAAAAGGAAGCAATTAATATTTTTGTGTTGTGTTCATAAATGACTAACAACATAACAATTTTTTTTTTTCATTTTCTGATTTTGGATTCCTAATCTAATACGAAAAGAACAAGTGATTCTGCTTGAATCCAGGTCTGGTTACAGTGAGGGATTTCTGAAAGGGCAATTTTACAAAAACCTTTGAAAAAAAAAAAAACCAAAGTGGCAAGCAAATAGGACGTTACCCATCAATATCTCTCCTACAAAGTCAGTGATTTTCCATCGATTCACCAGGTACTACGAACAGCAGTGAATGACTGCCAGCGAAATGACTATGTTTGCCGCTTTACACAAGAAGATTTCACATGTCACATCTGAGGACAAGTGACAAGTTATGTAAGAATGATGTAAGAATTCCCTAAAGAAAGCGTCATTTGTCTCGCTGTTCTTAGCCCTACAGGTCAGTTGATTACATGAAAAGAACAGCTGATGAAATGAACAGAACAGCTGATGCTGGTGTTCTTATTTAACATGCATGCAAAACAGCAAATAATACAGCATATTTATGGTGTAATGAATCTTGAAAAAAACTAATGAAAAACACTATCAAGTTGCATAATGTGGGAAAATCTAGAAACCAGTAAATTTTGGGGACAATTCTTCTACTTTGATTTTAAAGTGTCTCTCACCTGCAAACATAAAAACTAAATCGGCGGAATACCACTTGGTAAGAATACCATAATGATTAAACAACTCTTTAATGCTTTATCTATTTTCTAAAACGCTTTCCCTCCAAGTCACGCAGTTCCTGAGGATATGGTACTTTAAACTTGGCTGTGGAAAATCAATTTGCTGCAGTTTTTTTTAGAATATATTCGTTCAATCACACTCTGACCTCAATTGTCATTTCAGAAATAAGTAACATCAGCTAACCACAAAGAAAACAGTTTTAAAGATTTCTGCTTACCGAGAGCGTCGCTCCTGTAGCGTGCTAAAGCCGGCGAAGGACTGACTCCGGATTATGCCATTGGGACCTCCGGGGGAGTGGGTGCCGGCCGCCATGATCTCTGGGATGCGGGACGACACGCCTGGAGAAAAGAAAGACGTACAGATCCATTACATACGAATCCACTGGTAATATTTGGACACCAAGTGAAGGATTCCGAATCAGGGTCAGTCATAGATCATGGGTACAACAAAAGCATCTTTTGAACTAATTTAACACTCAAACCACGTGAGAAGAAAGGAGTGCAGAGAGCATTTTACAATGCAAAACAAAGTAGGCCCCGTTGGTGAAGCCTTCCACATGTGATGTGGACAAGCAGCATTCAGAGCCTGCGCTGACATGTCTCAACTCCTCTGGCCTACTTATCACGCAACATACCTCAACAGTTACTGTTACATGTTTTCCTTCCTCGGGCAGGTGTCACAAAACACGCCTCTCGTCACTTTCCGTTAAGTGTGTTGTGTACCTGAACTAAGAGGTAGACTTCTTTAAAAATGACTGACAATTGTTTAAAAGCTATATATAGTGCAAGCAGAAGCCAGTACATACTTTGTGAGGATTGGACCACAGATCTGCTATATGCTTTAAAAGCCATGTTTGCCTCCTAGAAATCTACTTTGTGTAGTAAATTCCAGGAGAACCAATAGAGACTGAGTTCTATAGTTAAGACATCTTTTATCACTGTGTCTTTATTTAGCAACAGTAGCCTGTCAGATTTCCAGCTGGAGATATGGAAAGACTCACATGGGCACTTGGGGAACAAGCTGAAAATAGACAAAGAAACGTCCACGTATAGCTGTCAGAAAATTATGTAGCAGAGATAAGTGCCCAGAGGGAAGAACCCACTGAGATAACTGAATCACAGTTTCATCTAGCACGTTGAGATTTTTTCCAGATCATGGTGCTGGTCAGGTGGCAGGTTAGCATTTAAACTTAATGGGTGGTTCAGTGGCTGGTATTTAAATCCGTTTAATGACAGACAAGAAGAGATGCACCAATCTGCTGCAGTATTTGGTCCAATAATGAGATCAAGTGTTGCATTTACCTCACATGACCTATCAATATTAAATACTGAAATTTATAATTACATTGACAAAAAAAATCTCTATCCACTACCAGTACATTTATTGAGTCACAGCAAGCTGTTAACTCTCTGTCTATAGTGCCACAGTAACCTCCAGATAAAAGGTTCCAAGGAGTTTGGTGCAATGACCTACATAGATTTTAAATTTATGAAAAAACATGCATCAACAAACTCATTGGGTTGAGATAACAAAATCTGTGTTGCTCTTTTCGCTCTCAGTTTAGGAAAGTCAAGTTCTTTTACCATAAAAGTAAAAAATATAGAAATGAAAATAAAGTACTGTATAAATAAGATCTATTTCCATAAAGTGAAATCCTCGTTTTAGTTATAACCACTGATTCACATGGAGGTCCGTGTCAGCTACAGAATAGCTCACATAGATTCAGTGTTGCTCAGTTACACGGTGTCCCAAATCCATGATACAAACCAATTCTTAGCAGGTTAAAGAGCAGTGTGTTCACACTGAAAAAGTAAAAATGAAGTATACTTAAAGTTGTCAGAATGCATGCCAGAAAATGTTTGAATGCACAAGGGAAATAGAGGAGCTGGTCACAACTCCAAAAAACGTAAATCATTTGAGAATGGTGGCAAGATGAAGCAAATGTTTCTACACTGTTTTTCTTCTTTGTAAAATTTAATTAAAAGTGGCATTTTAAAGTTGAAATGATAAGCTGATTACTGATGGATTAAAATCATAAAGTATGTAGATTTCTTGTATACAAGCTACAAAATACAGTACCCCAAATTTTAGTGGAACTTCTCAAACGGGTTGCTACTTTTCACTGTTTTAAATAATTTAAATTAAATATATTTCAATCATAATTTCTGACATTGTTTGATTAATTGAAAGAAAGGTATTGAATTGAAATTTACATTTACTCTAAATATTAGTGGATAGTTAGCATACATTATTAGTAGACTAGTACACAGTTTGGATGTAGAGTGGAAACGATACAGAGCTTTTGACACTAAACACATGCACACCAAATCCACAAAATCTAACGAATCCAAGTACGCATTAATCAAATGTACGGATGGAAATTCTGAATGGAGAGAAACTTCAGCTGTACCAACACGCTGACCTCAATGTTAATAGTGTGTGATGACTGTAAACACTGTAGTGAGGAAGTGTCATTTCTGTCTTGTTAATCTGTATCACATTTACAACTGAGCTAAAGGGAAAAGTATGGCGAACACAGAAATGCCTGGAGGAGAGAGAAATGTAGAGAGACAGATTTGTCAAATCAAATTAAACTCGCCTCAGTATTCAGCTCTCCTCTGTGTCTGCTTCTCTTCCTCACACAGATGAGATAAACCGACCCGCTGCGTTACCAGTTAAACAACTTCGCCAAACGAAGAAATGCTTCTTGTTTTTTTGGTCTGTTTATGTGTTTTACTCTATTTGTGGGGTCCGGTGTTTATACAGGGTTTGTTTTTCTACAGATCATCTATCTTTCTGTCTCCAGAGGACAGACGCTATGTGGGGGGCAGGGCTCATCACGACATACAAATGCAAGCATGTGCACACAAACACACACAGAGCGGTTGAGCAATCTGATATCCCTTCCTTTGGTCTGCGTGAAAGAGAGAGCCACAAAAAGACCCGGCACGGGGCCCAAGGAAAGACTAGTGCCTTGTTTTGCGGTGTGGGGGGGGGGACAATAGGCTGATGAGACTGATACTGTTCAGGCTATTAATAGCAGCTAGCTCACTTTAACACTGGGGACCCTGATGGCTGTGACTCAGTAAATGAATAATCAGGACCAATAGCCAGATGGATGTTTTGGCTCGGAGCAAAATGGTCTGGTTTGATTGGTTACGTATCCAAAAATATATCTTGTTTGGTTCTACAAACTGGTAGTTTATCTATGAAAAAATATATAACATTCTTTAGATTTAGTTTTGAATTGTAGGCTAATCGCAGCTAGCAGCAGGTGATACAGTTGAAACTACTTAATTTTTTTTTTAATTAACAATGGATTAAATTACTATGTGCAATGTGACACCTGTCATTTGCAGTGATGTGATGGTCCTACAGAGAATTATCACCACCTCTACAAAATATTTTTGTTTTGGATGCTTCTAATGCAAAGTGGGGTAACACCAAAAGTTGACAACAGTTAACCAAGACATCACCAGATGTTTTACAAAGACAGATTATTTATTTTATTTTTCATTCTTAGTCAGGAAAAAAAAATAAACATAATCTAAGGGCCTGGAGTAGAGCTGGGTAATGAATTGTTATTTGTTTGTTTTTCCCCCCACTCTCTTTCTTTTGTATGTCATTATTTTACTCATGATTTTGTATTTATCTTCACACTGGTGTTACTTTATTTCTATCTGTTCACTAGCAGATGGTGGTAGATTTATGCAGGCTTTAAAGCAACAATTATCAGTTGTTTGCTTCATTTGTTTAAGGTTGTGAGAAAGATATGAGTTTAAAAGTAGTTGTTGAACATAAAGAAGCATATCACAGCTAAAGAGCCAGACATTTTCTTTAAGAGTTGGTAGAGGCCCAAAACAGAGCTAAAAGAGAGTGAATATTGGACTTGCATTCATTGGGTGACCAGAAATATGACTCCAAATGAGTGAGTGTTGCCCCTAATCTGCTGGATGTGTACTATTCGTCAGAACGCCTTCATATGTTGATAATATGTCAGACACATTTTCAGCTGTCCCCAGCTGTTCTGCTGTCCCCAGGTAGCCTAAGAACTATTTAAAATTAAAACATATTCTGTGGGACATGTTAGCTTGGAGCAGGGATAGGAAGTGAGGTGGGGGGATGGCAGGTAGCCTATACCATAAGAAGACAGTGGTTTAAGTGATAAGCATAAATTCAGGAATTACCCCTGTTGTACAGAGACTTGAGCACTGCTATGTACAGTCACCATGGCTAAGCCAGCTGTTGATGATCTCTAAGCTGTAGTCCAGCTGCTAGTTAAAACACCATGTGCTTTCTATTTCTACATACAGTATGTCAAATTAGATGAGTGAGTGTGGAGGTTTTGGAGTGTTTAAAGGCAGCTTCGTCAGACCTTGAATGACTTATTAACTAATTTTGTTAGTTTTATTTAAAACTTGCTCAGAATTATTCATTTAGAGAACAAAAAATGCAAAAAAGACAATCAGTAATATTCAGAATTGGCAGCAGGTAAAATACTTTACAGGTTAGCAGTAATTTTCCCTAATGCTCTGAAGCATTTTGGTCCATTTTGGTCTGTTTGGATGTTTAAAAGCACAGTTTTCAGCCTTGCCATGTTCGTCTCTCTGACTTTCTGACTCACTCTCCTAAAATAAGAGCAGTGGGTGGCAAATGTTGGTACATTTTGTTACCTAATGCTCTCTGGGTAGAACCGAACAGGCTAGACACTGCACTTCAGACATTTCCTGAAGATTTCCTGTAGATTTAGATGAAGCAAAATGATACGGTGAGAAGACGTGAACACTGTACACAATGATACCAGGTGGTACAAACAGGTAGTTTTGGAAGTACGACTTACTGTCATCAGAGAATACACAGATGTGAAACAACAGCACTCACACAATTCAAACAAGGAAAAAACTTCATATTTATCTCACAGTTACACAGTGTGTTCACTAAAAAAAATCTAATGTTGACTGTATGAAATTAACTCAGTGTTTGTACTACATTAATTTATCAGGGACTTGCCCACCCACTGCTGAATAAATGTGGTACTTTATAAAAACATAATCATCTTCTCTCCCTCAGTAATGAAGCCAATACCTGTGTTTTAACATCAGCTCTTTGTTTCTTGCAAAACAGTCTGATGATTAACTTAGTTTTCATTCTTTTTTCAAGCAAGTGTCAAACATCTGTTTCCAGCTTTTCAAATGGGAGGATCATATAGGAAACTGAATATATTTGGGTTTTAGAAAAAAGGCATTTTATAAGTTATCACATTGGGTCCCGGGAGATGGTGATGGACATTTCCTGACATTTTATAGACAAAAAGATCAACCAAAAATCTGCAGATAAA